GTTACAATTCTCTGAACTTTGACCTTTCAGCAAAGAATATTCCTCAGAAGATTATTTCACTGTCGTCATGATAACATCTGCTTCCTAATCTCTTCTTCTTTCAATAGTACAAAGTTGGTAACATTTTACTGCACCAAACTGTGGATTTCACAATCATCATAGTAAAATCCCCTCCAACAGCAGATGTAACACAAACAGTTAATTTTCTGAACTTTGACCTTTCACCATGTGAAGACTTAGGCTTGAACTTTTACCAACATGTTTATTTTCAACAAAAATAGACACCAATTCAATTACAATTTCACCGGAGAGGGTCAGAGATCGATACAAAATAGAATCCCATTCTGTTACCAGTCTTTTGGACCTCCTTTTATAGCTCTGTTTCCAAGTATTATGTAATCTCTTGGCTCTCTTTCCTTCTGCACCTGGTTCCGTGAAAATTCCCAAATATTTAAGTGACTGTCATGGATTCACCATGCTGCTGGACAGCTGAGACATCGCTCTGACTGTATACTGCTCTACCTCTCTGTGGCCTTGGCATGCTTATTGCTGACATCTCAGCCACATCTGGCTTTGTGGACAGGCCTGGTGGGCTGGTGTGTTCTGTGCTGTGTGTTAGAGACAGGGCATCCTTATCGTGCACTGCCTCACTCTACTGCGTGTCCTCCTCTACCTCTGCCCAACAACACACACATCTACTTACATACACAGGTCTTTCAGGCAGTCAGATACAGAGAGGAGGACACACAAACATGCCTGGTGTTAATTGCCAACACCTGGTTCTTATCTATTCACAACAACAAAAAAGGTTACAAAGAGGATAAATTACTGTCACTGCTTGGAAGAAAGACTCACCATGCAGAGAGAGTAACTTTTAAACCTCAAAACATATTAGAACTCATGTGTGTATATATAGTGTTTCTTAATGCTTATATAAAAAGAGGGATTAGAGGGGTTTAAACAAAAGTGGTTTAGACTGCACTATATAATAACTTAATCATATAGCTTAAAATATTAACATGGTAAATATTACACTACAACCAAAACAATTCTTTAACAGGTTAGTTAAACACTGGCATGGCATAATGTTGTCTATCACTGGCACAAAGTTGGTAACATTTTACTGCACTAACTTGGAGAAAACACACTGTACAATCCCCTCCAGCAGCTAAACAGCTGTCCTTTGACCAAACCACTTTCTTAATAGGTTAGTTCACTGCTGCCATGACATCTGCTTCCTCCTGTCATCTGTTTCCTTCTCACCTACTAACGGTGCCTTAAATGGTAACATTTTACTGCACCAACTTGGAGAAATCACACTTTAAAATCCCCTCCAGTGCCACAAATTACACACAACTTTGACCTTTCAGCAAAGAATATTCCTCAGAAGATTATTTCACTGTCGTCATGATAACATCTGCTTCCTAATCTCTTCTTCTTTCAGTAGTACAAAGTTGGTAACATTTTACTGCACCAAACTGTGGATTTCACAATCATCATAGTAAAATCCCCTCCAACAGCAGATGTAACACAAACAGTTAATTTTCTGAACTTTGACCTTTCACCATGTGAAGACTTAGGCTTGAACTTTTACCAACATGTTTATTTTCAACAAAAATAGACACCAATTCAATTACAATTTCACCGGAGAGGGTCAGAGATCGATACAAAATAGAATCCCATTCTGTTACCAGTCTTTTGGACCTCCTTTTATAGCTCTGTTTCCAAGTATTATGTAATCTCTTGGCTCTCTTTCCTTCTGCACCTGGTTCCGTGAAAATTCCCAAATATTTAAGTGACTGTCATGGATTCACCATGCTGCTGGACAGCTGAGACATCGCTCTGACTGTATACTGCTCTACCTCTCTGTGGCCTTGGCATGCTTATTGCTGACATCTCAGCCACATCTGGCTTTGTGGACAGGCCTGGTGGGCTGGTATGTTCTGTGCTGTGTGTTAGAGACAGGGCATCCTTATCGTGCACTGCCTCACTCTACTGCGTGTCCTCCTCTACCTCTGCCCAACAACACACACATCTACTTACATACACAGGTCTTTCAGGCAGTCAGATACAGAGAGGAGGACACACAAACATGCCTGGTGTTAATTGCCCAACACCTGGTTCTTATCTATTCACAACAACAAAAAAGGTTACAAAGAGGATAAATTACTGTCACTGCTTGGAAGAAAGACTCACCATGCAGAGAGAGTAACTTTTAAACCTCAAAACATATTAGAACTCATGTGTGTATATAGTGTTTCTTAATGCTTATATAAAAAGAGGGATTAGAGGGGTTTAAACAAAAGTGGTTTAGACTGCACTATATAATAACTTAATCATATAGCTTAAAATATTAACATGGTAAATATTACACTACAACCAAAACAATTCTTTAACAGGTTAGTTAAACACTGGCATGGCATAATGTTGTCTATCACTGGCACAAAGTTGGTAACATTTTACTGCACTAACTTGGAGAAACACACTGTACAATCCCCTCCAGCAGCTAAACAGCTGTCCTTTGACCAAACCACTTTCTTAATAGGTTAGTTCACTGCTGCCATGACATCTGCTTCCTCCTGTCATCTGTTTCCTTCTCACCTACTAACGGTGCCTTAAATGGTAACATTTTACTGCACCAATTTGGAGAAATCACACTTTAAAATCCCCTCCAGTGCCACAAATTACACACATTTACAGTTCTCTGAACTTTGAACAACCTTTCACCAAATCAATTCCTTAAGGGGTGCGTTCAGCGCTACAATGGTAAGTAGGTAGGTATGTAGGTTTATTGTGACAATATAACAAATTATAGAGTGAAATTGTGTTTTGTAACTCCCTTCTGCTACATAGCAGACAATATACTTCTATACTATACAGAATCGATTGTAAAAAGAAACCCAGAAATAAACTATAATCGATGGAGCAGTGCTGAGGATAAATTAGAGTTTAAAAGTCTGATAGCTTCGGGGGGAAAGCTGCTTTGCAGTCTGGTGGTGCTGCAGCTGAAACTTCTATAACTCTTCCCAGAAGGGTGAACAGACTGTGGCTGGGGTGGGAGACTGTCCTTTAGTATCCTTTGGGCTCTGCATAGGCACCTCACCTCATCTGGCATCTGCTTCCTACTGTCATCTACTATTACTTTATAAAATGTTGAATCATTCAACCAATAGGATGAAAGCCAACTCAAGGTTATGAAAACAAATCTCTCCATGACTCCTTACAGATTTTAACCTGTGTTCTCACTTAACAATGATCTGATTCTCGATTAGACGGGCTTCAGGTTTTTTTAGTTAGTTTTTTATCCATATGTGGAGTTTGTGTTGCCGTTGTGTTGGTCAGTCGGTCAGTTTTTGGTGTTAGTGGACTCCATTTCATTAGTGGCTGTGTGTACAGTTCAGAATCAGTAGGCAAGAGGCTCGGAAGTGCATTTGCAGAGAATCCTACCTGATTTCTTCACAAAGGATGCAGAATAGAGAAAGCAGGCGTGTGGTTCTTTTTTATATGAGGTTACCTAATCATAAATAGGCAATACAAATGTAATTCATTGATAAGTGATTTCATTGAACAACTACATTTAGCCCCTCTAAATAGAGAGCAAAATGTTTTTCACTGCACCAGTGACATCAATGCTCTCACCGTGGTTCATTACACCAGACATGCAAAGTGAGCCATTATGGTTTGTAAGCAGAAATGCTAGCATGTCTCCCAGTGCAACAAAAATCACCTCCTTAGTGACCTTTGCACTTGTTATGACACACCCTCTGAGTACTGCTTCTCCCTCTCCATGTGTGTACGTGGTGAACTTAAGCCCTGGCAAACATTAAAGGACAAGCCTGCTGCTATCATATGTCCATGTGCCAAAAAAAAAGAGAGGCCTTGTGGTGCTGGGGGTGGGTAGAGAATACATTAGCAGGGGGGTTAGTTTCTTTTAAAAGTTCTGTTGCGACTGGCCACATAATCCGGCGTGTTGATTGTGTTGATGGTCTTTAGCCACTCTGCTGGTTGCTTTATTGGAGTGTCGCAATAGTATGGAGCCTGCTCAGCTGGAATATATGAGGCTACGCAAGTCAGACAGCGCAGGTGAGATCGCAGTTGAACTACCTCTTCAGAGAGCATGCCAAAACAATAAATAGAAGAAGCCTTGCAGCAAGGTTTCTACTGATGTGTGACATATACATGTCATAAAAATTTTCATACTGATATATTTAGACTACATGTGTCATGATGTGCTTTAGGCAGAAATGAAGTACTTCCTTTTTGTGTGAAGCAGCTGCACAAGTAGTATGTTCATACAAATAATAGTAAGAAATAAGCAGGAAATCAAGAGAGCTGGCTGGTTTGCTTGTTATAGGATTGACTTAATTGTTGCTTTTATATAGTATTCTCACTTGCTTTGTTTTCAGATAATAAACATTTTGCAAGACACACTTATGTGCATGAGTGAGAACGATGTGGAGTGTTTTTATGACACTGTGAAAGAGCCACATACCCTAACCCTGTCCTGCAGCTCGCCTCAAACAAGTACATATAAAGACTTGATTCTGTAAGCTAGAGAAAGATAAGAAAGATGTCACCTCTGATGGTCTTCATATTATTTCATATTCCTAGAAAAACTCTTCTAATGCTCTTATGTGTGTACGAACAGTATGTAAATAATATGGGGGGTGTGGGGGGAGACGTAGTGAGTAGAAGAGTCCCATCTCCACTCCCCCATGGTGGTCATGCTGATCTCCTGTCAGGTCAGGTGCCACTAGAATTGCAAATACCCTTAACAAAACATGGAACTATCACTTCTTGGAGTATCATCGATTTAAGGTTAAGGTTTTGACTGCCCTCTTGTGGTAAGAAAGGAGAACCATTCTACACTGCTCAGTTTGATAAACAAACATCTTGTGCAACTGAATTCATGAGAGGTTCCCACCTTTGTCATACTGGTCTCACATGACTCGGTAGCTCTTACTCTGACTGAGAAACCATCTGTGTCACCACAACACATGCACAGATCAGTGGATTTGGATCCTTCTCTGCTGTCTGACATCACCACAGAGATCTTAGCAACTCCCCTCAGGCCTTTTTAAATCACGAAACAGACGGAGAGGCAGACAAGCAGCATGGCCTCAGGTCCCCCCCGCCCTGCCTACCAAGTACTTCTCCTTAGCAACAGTCAGCTGACCTGCAGTAGGTATTCAGTGAAGCACACATATGCACACAGATCACAGAGCTGCACGCCTCAGTCGCTCACGCTCACTCCTCCACCTGCCACTCAGGCTTCATGGCTCTCACTATTAACACGTCCACAGAGCAGAAAAAACTCACACAGACTCCTCTGCTCAAGATCTGGGTGCCATGGATGGGCTGCAACTTGAACCGCAGGAGAGGATGTAAGTGTAGTGAAAACCCAGCTCAGCTTGAATAGAAGATACATTATCCATTCTGTCTTGCTAATGTTTGTTAACTCAGTTATTGTTTCAGGAGATGAAGCTTGTGTTTGCTTTAGCAATTTACTCAGTCATGTGTGTTTTATACTGCCTGTGCTGAATCCTCCTCATGTTGCTTCAGGACTGAGCTCAGTCCGGGGAAGCAGGTAGGCAGGCGGCTGTCTGAGAGATATAGGAGTCAGCCACGGGATGACAGCCAGGCTGGACCAAGCCAAGTCCGAGTTGGCTCTCTGTTCAGTGTCTGACGTGGTCCTTTGAGCATTTTGCTGACGCAGCATACTCCATTCATAATCGAACAGCCTGGAGGTTGACACTCTCCCCGTCCCTGTATAGACACACACAGGCCATCCGGGTACTTTAGGGGGTACAGCTAACTGGCAAGCAACCCTGCAGTCTACCTTAGAAATTACTGGCATTTTTTGATCCCAGAGATAAACAAGCATGCAACAAATGGGTCACGACTGGGTAAGAAACACTTTTAAATGATATTCAAAACATGTCAGGTTTGTGAGGAAATTTACAAGCAGCTGATTGATCTTCCAAATCCGAATATCTATCTATACAGTGGTAACTCACTTCTCTGAGTTTTTTTCATTTTCTTCACTATAGCTTCACGTAAATGATTGTGTGTAGTGACACAGTTTGAACCAAAGCCTTTAGAGGTGTCCAGTAAAAATTATGGAGTTATATTGGGGACATTGTTGTATATAGTTGTGCTGATTTGTAACCATCTGCAGGGAAGAGACTGACATTTTAACACTTGGAGATTAGGAGTGCTTTGTTCTTGTTCTTGCCATATGTTGCAGTTCACAGTGCTGCTACAGTTATTTCTAAAATGTGACTACCTGAGAAGGAGAAGCATCTTTTTTTTTGTTTCGTTAGACAGTTTTCTGTGTCAAGACGCGCTGCCAAAGACAGGCAGATAAGCCATGTGACTCACTACACTACAGTTTGCAGACATTTGAGCTGCACCTTGCAGCTCTTATTCTCTGTCTTAATGAAGATTACCTTGGCAGCTACACACACAACACCTGTCCTGCAGCACAAAGCCTCAGAGAGTTGTGCGTTACTCTGATCTGGATTTAAGCATTTAGATAGAAGGCTAATGCGCTGTGCTGAATGATGTTTTACAACACAAACGCATACATTTCCACATCAACAACATTCAGTAACTATTGCTTTATGTTATTGTGTGTTTGCCTTCATCTCAGCCTCTGTGCCTCAGTTCTGTAACTCTCCTACAATGATTGTGATGGTGGGATTGCCAGCCAGAGGGAAGACGTTCATCTCTAAGAAGCTCACTCGCTACCTGAATTGGATCGGAGTGCCGACAAAAAGTCAGTTTTCAAAGTGATTTCATGAATCCTAATCATAAATTGTATAAAAGAGACAAAGAACTGAATGTTTCAATGTTTACAACAGTATGAGCTCATCATACATTGAACACCATAAGCGCTATATTTTTTAACCTTTCTATTTCCCTAATCCAACCAGTGTTTAACGTGGGCCAGTACCGCAGGGAGGCTGTCAAGATCTATAAGAACTTTGAGTTCTTTAAACCGGATAATGAAGAGGCCATGATGATCCGCAAGTAAGAAGGATGATAACTGTCAAAACATTAATGATGTGTATTAGTCATTTGAGTTTTAAGAGATCGGACTTCAGTCATTCTAGTTCCACATTTATCATTCACTCATTTTTTGCTCCTTTGCCTATACGAGTGTAACTTCTCTCTCAGGGCCTGTGCAGCAGCCGCCCTCAAAGACGTAGCTGCCTACTTCACAAAAGAACAGGGACAAGTAGCTGTGAGTAAGAGGACAACTAAAACTGTCCCTCTAATCACAATAAAACACACTGATTAAATGTTTATTTTGTTTTGTACGTGTGTTTTACTCATTTCCTCAGCCAGGTCCCACTGAGATAAAAGGGGCACTCAATTTTACAGATAATTTTACTAGACACACACAAGCCAGTAAAAACGGTTGTATAATGTCTTCTGTGTCACGTGTTTAATCATAAAGTCATCAGAGTTATCTCTTGCATAGCCAGACCTGTGTCTCCACACTGTGCTGAACACGTTATCAATCTGCTATAGGGGGAAAAATATGGCTTGTTTGTATTTCTTTAAACCAATCACAATTGTCTTAGGCAGCACTAAGGCCCTGATGCAGTGAATGGGCCGTTGCAAACTAATGTCGGAAGATGGCTGAAAGGGAGAAGCATTCCTACCTGGCTAATGACTTATACACACAACCTTCTTCCAGTGAGCCAGACTTTCAGGGTTATCACAGTTTGGGCTTGGAGACTGTGAATTTATTAACAGAATGTCTCTAAATTATATATTGTTATTGTATATTGTTAGTCGTGAGTAGTAGTAATAGTGTAAAAGTATGTTGTTTTTCAATATAAAAGGATGTACTGATAACACCTGGGTCCTGTCCCATCCAGGTATTTGATGCTACCAACACCACCAAGGAGAGGAGGGCAATCATTATTAATTTTGCGAAGGAGAGGGGCTACAAAGTGAGTACATATGTAGAAGTTGGAGAATACGCATATTCACTTTGTTGCCGAGAGTTAGATGAGAAGATCATCTCTGTTCATTCAATCTGAAGCTAGAACCAGCAGGTGTTTAGCTTGGCATAAAGACTAGAAGCAGGGGGGAAATGGCAAGCATGGCTCTGTCCAACAAAATCCACCTATAAGCATCTCTAAAGCTCACTTATTCACACGTTAAACAAACAATACATATGATGCGGATGATGAGGCCATGGAAGACTTCCTGCAGCACATTGAGTGTTTATGTATTGTTTGTTTAATCTGTACAACAAACAAAGTGATGAAAACCTCAAATATGGCGTTAAAAGGAAAATAATAATTTGTTTTTTAATGACATCTTGTACGCAGGTGTTCTTTGTTGAATCAATCTGTGATGACCCAGGAATCATTGCAGAGAATATTAAGGTTAGTCAATGATGTGTTTTTTTAAACATAGATGTTTGCAGAGGGTTGGATGTAATGTTCTCAGTTAAATAAAAAAACTGGCTTTCTTTTCCAGCAAGTAAAATTTGGGAGCCCAGATTATGTGGATCGTGACATAGATGAGGCCATGGAAGACTTCCTGCAGCGCATTGAGTGTTACAAGGCTAGCTACATGCCTATAGACGATGACAAGGACAGGTACTGACCCATGATGCTTTTCTGTGTATAAAATAAAAAGGGATGTGGATGGTGGAAAGCACGGTGTCTTTTTCTGACAAATACATTTTGACTTTGGACAGGCAACTCTCCTACATCAAGATCTTCGATGTGGGCAGTAGATACCTTGTGAACCGGGTCCAGGACCACATTCAAAGCAGGATAGTCTACTATCTGATGAACATCCATGTTACACCGAGATCAATCTATCTGAGCCGCCATGGAGAGAGCGAACTCAACCTTTTAGGTCGCATTGGTGGAGATTCAGGCCTCTCCCCTAGAGGACAGAAGGTGAGTAGATTACACTATTCCGACAGAGTTGAATCCTTTTATGCAAACAGCAAATATTAGATACAAAGTAAACACATTTTAAAGTAGGGCTGGGCAATAAAACAATAATGATAATTATTGTGATATAATTTAACAAATAAATGTCCATTAAATGTTTGGTGTAATTAGTTTGAATCACAAAAGATTAAGCACTTATTTTTTTCTATTAAGAGATTTATTTTGTTGAGGAAAATGGACTGAAAAAGATTTTACTTAATTGATGCATGCATGTTTGTTGAAATATGATTTTATTATAATTGTTTTGAATGTTATACCTCAGATTTGGCAAGTGATCCGTTGTTTATCATGGTCTGACCATAAAGAATACTTTAAAACCACTATTAACTGTTTTCTTCAACTATCACTCAGGAGCAGAAATCAGCCTTTAAACCTTAAAGAAATAATGATTTGACATTTAGTTGACGCTTTTATCCAAAGCAACTTACAATAGCTATATATGTCGCACGCCTCTGGAGCAATGAGGGGTAAGTGTCTTGCTCAAGGACACACTGGTGGATGGGTCACATCCAGGGGGATTGAACCCAGGTCTCTTACACCAAGGGCATGTGTCTTATCCATTGCGCCATCACCACCCCATGTTTAGCATGATAATTATCGATATCAAATGATATGAAATGTTTTATCATAATTTTTGGCCATATCGCCAAGCCCTATTTTAAAGCAGTACAATTTCATTCAAAACTGTTTTAAAATTTCCAAATTGCACTCATGGTTTCCAGTATGCCAATGCCTTGGCGGCCTTCATCAAAGGTCAGAATATCAGTGACCTGAAAGTGTGGACGAGCCACATGAAGAGGACCATCCAGACTGCAGAATCTGTGGGAGTCCAGTATGAACAGTGGAAGGCCCTCAACGAGATAGACGCTGTGAGTTTATAAAGTACATTTCTACATCTTAAAACATAATCCCTGAGACAAAGATGCACGTAATGCAAATTTGATATTTCTAGATGATGTTTTCAAATCAATCAGTTGTATGCAGTAGAGTTTGTAGAGTAGAGTATTCACACAATCACCTGTTCTTTTTATGGTGATGTTAATGTTACTTTTTCTCACTAAGGGCGTATGTGAGGAGCTAACCTATGAGGAGATTCAGGAGAATTTCCCAGAAGAATTTGCACTGAGGGATCAGGACAAGTATCGTTATCGTTACCCCAAGGGTGAGGTAAGTGCTGCCCTGAATATACTGTGACTGAACTCATTTATTAACTGCTGAGTAGCGTAATCTATAATAAGAAATTATAATTGATCTATTACAAATTTTAGCTCCAAAATGTTGTAGAGTAGAAGTATAAAGTACCATAAAACGGAAATATTCAAGCAGTACAAGTACCTCAAAATTGAATAAAGATACTTTGTTACTTCTCACTACTGCAAATTAAGTATAATGTTGTAATTAGTGAGCTTTAGATGTGCTGATAGATAGATTTTATGTCACTAAACTAAGATACACTAACAGTCTTTTGGCTGTATCTTCATGTCAAACAGAAAATGATGAGAGAGCTTTTCTCAGCTAACTCTCACCAAGAAAACAAATAGTGTGTGTATTTCCTAAAATGGACAAAGAAGGTGAGATAAAATGAGCAGCCTATGATTGAAAAATTGATGAACTATGAAGGATTTTGTCTCTTGTTCAGTCCTATGAGGACCTTGTCCATCGCCTAGAGCCCGTGATCATGGAGCTGGAAAGGCAGGAAAATGTTCTGGTAGTCTGCCACCAAGCTGTAATGCGCTGCCTGCTGGCCTACTTTCTAGACAAACCTGCAGGTACAGAAATCCGGGCTCAACTGCTGCACAGACTGGCTTCTTTTCTAACTGTAACACCTTGACACAATAGTATCCTATGTGATGTTGTTTCAGTACCACAAAAACTTAAATAATCTTATTTTCCTCCCTCTGAAGATGAGTTGCCTTATCTTAGATGCCCCCTCCACACAGTGCTCAAACTCACACCAATAGCCTATGGTAGGTGGAAAATTCTTGAGTGTATGGCATATGCAGTCTCTGGAAATCTTTCCCTGACAGTCTGGCTTTCTCCTCAATTGTAGGGTGTAAAGTTGAGCCATTTTTCCTCAATATCGAAGCAGTCAACACCCACAGAGAGAGGCCAGTGGTAAGTTTCCACAAGCACACATTTCTCATAATACTTAGCTTTTCCAACTATTGGTTATGTGGTACATTACAGACATCTGATGACATCGAGTAATGTTTTGGAATTTTCATGTATTGATGAAACGAATACATATAGTGGTGAGAAATTAGCAAATATATGGCTGAACTGATCTTTTCCTTGTTATGATTAGAAACAAAGCTTATAGTGGCTAATGTTAGCTGATGTTCGCACACTTTAAAGCAGATGCTGTTTAACAGACATCAGAGAGTAACTTTGCTGGCTTTGTGTATTTGTGCTACTCTTACACAACATTTTAGTATGTCGCAGAGATTACCATGATTAAGTATTTAAAACTAATTAAGTACTTACCCCTTGTGGCCACAGTAGCTGCTGTTCAGCAAAAGTGCCATATGCTTTGTCCCAAATCCATACTACGTACTAATTGTTTGCAGCACGTACGTACTACATCATAATGTATTGTATTTCTTAATATTTATTACTTATTTTTGTTGTCTTTGTTGTCTGGAGCTGCCACCAACCAGACTTTATTGTATTTTTTCTAGCCATGAACAGCTTCTCCATTTCCTGTCTGCATTGCATTGTGAGAGAATAGTGCCCAATAACTCAACAATCACTCAACAATTTACTTTATATTGAATGCATGGTGTCTGGTTTGAGTGTAATTCATTTTGTCATTTTTCCAGTGCGAACACTACTGTATGCTTAGAGTGAGTATGTAGTGTGGATTTTGGACATGCCAAATAGTCTCCCTTTAAGTGGACTCTTAGTATTTCTGTTTCTGTCGCTGCAGAACGTCGACATCAACAGAAACCCAGAGGATGCTCTGCTGACTGTTCCTGAACACATATAAATGCTGTTTTGTGAGCAAAGGACTACCTCATGTGAAACTGGATGTGTAGCTTCACTAAATATTAGAGATGTTCTCCAGTTAAATGTTGATTGTGTGAAGACAGAAGACAGGGGGGCTTTGGAGCAGGAGAAGACAGGATGGTAGAAATGGGAGTACGCTCACCAGCCTATACATTACATGAAAACACCACGACAGGAGCACACGGACTCCCCCTGCCGTGACTGAAAAGGTGTACCCGGAACAGGACACTCTGTTTTCAAAATGCCTGAACTGACTAGAGTTTGCTTTTCTCAACATAATTGTCCCATTGTTTACACATTATTTTGAAAAAATGCACTATGTATTGAGGTTGAGAGGAAGACACTTAAAAGATATAGGGAGGTTGTCATTTGTAACTTGGGCCTACATGCACATGTAACTGTTGTACAGATAACATAATGTGATGTTGATAATCTAATTATGAAGGTAGCAATCAGCACCACGGACAGCACCAAACAACACAACACATTGTGTTGAATAAAATAATGTAAATAAAGTAAAGTCTCAAACATGGTATTGTGTAGAAAATACATTTACATTCCAAGTCAGAGTCATATTGGTGTTTGCTTGGCAGCTATGTTGTGTTGTTAACAAAATGATTTCGCTGTAGACCGATTGTTTCAGCCAATAATGGGTCTTTGTGAAAGAGCACTCAAGGTAAAACTCGCATTTGGGAGTAATTTAAGGAATAAAAGTCAGACTGGGGCATTTTTAGGGTCGCGAGAGGAGGAGGAGGAGGAGGAGGTGTTTTGGTAGGGGGTGTTTTCCCCAACTACGCGAGCAGGTGTCACTCATTTCTCATGGACCTCGGTGGCAGCAGTCCGCGATATTTCCAGTGTGGATGAACACAAGCTGCTTCCTTCACACTCAGCGGGACTCTCCAGCGGGGAATTTTCTGACCGAACTTCACGCTTTTTTCGCCGTCTTTTCTTTCACAACACCTGACGGATGTTTGACTCATATAAATATTCATTTTGTAGTAAACTAAGCGGAGGCGAGGGAGGGGAAAGACTGCCCCTTGCAAAAAAATAACTTCACGTGTAAAATGTGAGGTAGTATGTGCACAGCGTCCTGCTGTACGAGCTGCTTCAGTCCCGCTGACAACGTGAAACCACTGGGCAACTTACTTAATCTTGGAGACTAAAACCTGAATTATTATGGACAAGATGAACTTTAAAATTCATTGCATTCTAGTTGTCTTCACTTTTTATGTGCAAGAGGGATTATCAAGGGATTATGAAGCAAACCTTGGAGCAAATATTCTTTTACAGGTATATTTTACTTTACTACTTTACTTTTTTCAGTTGTGCGTCAAAAATCATTGAAGGTTACACTTTATTGCTTTCTGAAACACACCCCTCTAAAAACCCAGGCTGAATTAATGGAGGCAAGAGGAAAGTGTAAAAATATGATTTCAAAACTTTAGTTTGTATAATAAAACAAGACAGAACCATACCTCAGTCACAGATATGTGGTAGAACCATTTGTCTGCAAAATGCTGTTCATGACCATACTTAAATTAAAATGTCAGTGTTACCAAAAGTTAGCTTTTTGCAGCTGCAACAGTGGCTCACAGTGGCAGAACATAGTCCTATATTTTCTATAAATAATGTGATTTTTATGTTTCCACTATAAAGGGTTTCCACTCCTAAAGTTATTTGTTTATGTTAAATTCCCAGCAATGACCAGGATATGTGGTAATCTATTGACACAGAAATGACTTGTGTGCAGAATTAACGTTTGAGACCAAACCGTGCAAGCCTCACTGGCCCTGTGTACAGTGAAAGCATGTATTTCTAGTTCCACTTCCCCTCCATTCATGAATGGCTTTGATTCAGACTATTTTGACACAAAATCCTGACCCAATCCCTCACATAGGCAGATTGTTTAGATTACTTCAAATGGAGGCATTTTGAAATATGGTACTAATATGTGGTATTTTGCTATGTTAAAACTTGTAAAAATTACCCTGCACTTGATTAACTTGATGCATTGTTTCTTTTCCAGAGAATAAAACGTCAAAGTAAACAAACAAAACCAGCGGTAAGTTTGTTCACAAGTTACTGTCATAAAATGTGTTACATAAAATGCCAAATATTCATCTAATTGTTGGTTAAGATTTGAGCTACCCATGCCCCAAAATATGAGGTTCTCAATTTCGTAACTTCTGGTAAATATGGATATAATATGAAATTTGACATTCATATAAAAATAGTACCCTTGGAACTAAATAAAAGCTGTGTACTTTGGTCCCGGTCTTTCCCTCCATTGTATAACTACAGAACAACTTTCACAGAAAGGGAAACAACCATCACCACATCTCTTTATCATCAGTAGCTCCACTGTGGTTTCCCCTCAGTTTGCTTCTGTGTTAACTGTGAAGCAATCCCCTGAAACCATATAGTAATTCCGTTTGTATAGCACAAACCACAGCTCTCCTAAATACCAGTAAGCTGGAGGACTGATGTAGCTCTCTTCCTCCTGCCTGTCGCCGCGACCTGCAGTAATGTGGCTGGTCCTGACCAGATTGGTCTCAGCAGGCGCCGCCGTTACCCGAGTAAACAAGAGGAGGACAGAGAAACCATGCAGGGAACTGCTTTGTGTTGTTTCACTGACTCGTCAGAGAGATGCAGAGCAAACTGTGATATGAGGTGGAAAAATAACAGGTTATGTATAATATGATTTTGTTTCCCGTCACGGTAGGACAGTGGTTTTAGGTAAGCTTCAATTGTTGTCTGCCATAGTCACATCAGTGTATAAATGTTGTTTGAAACCCGAGTTGTGATCTGTTTGGATGACTCCATCCTTTCTGGATCTAAATAACTTTAATCCAGGTGGCATCAGCCCACTAAGACCACCTTTTTGCCTACAGTGGATCACACTGATGTGTATTGTCCCTCCTAGTAAAACTGTAAAGCTGTGCTGTGATAAGAATCTCATGTGAATCCTCAACTTCAGTCCTTTCTCCTCTGGCCTCTTAAGTGGTTTATACATGTATTTGTGATATCACCAGCTCAAGGTGACAGACTACCATGTGAAGTGTTCAGTGGTGTCCCGCTATGCTGTTACAACAGTTCAGAGTTCAGTATGGAACCAGCTTCCCATCACCAAGGAAGCTGCCTTTGAGGTGGACCTGACTTCCTCTGCTTTCATCTCCAACTTCACCATGTAAGTCAGTCCTACATTGTCTTGCACTGTCCCTCTCTTAGCTACAGTACAGTGTTTTCACATTGCCACTTCCTGCATTTGTTTATCAGTGTTTTTTAGTGTCTTTTCATTTCCTTTACTCCTAACATAATCGTTATGAAAGTCAGGAAATGCAACCGATTGTCTCACTGTGTTTCGGATGATAATGTTTTTTTGACATTACAGCTTAAGTAAGTTCTTGCCTGTAGAAATGATTCACTTTTACGGTGAAACATTTAAATAAACAAAAGTAATGTTCTTGTTAATGGGCAGAATCCAGAAATACAACTTCAGAGGAATTATGTCAGGAAGTAGAATTCCGGTCCAGAGGACATACAGAATTTGATTAGTAAGAGGGTTGCTGACCACTCTCCTTCAAAATGCTAAATATAAACAAAACAAATAAGTCAACATTGCAGGCCAAACACCAAGGCTGGAGTTGGATTTGGGAGCGGAAGCAGGTCAGGAGGAGGGGGAACCTGAGGGCAGATGAATACCAGGCTTTGTAAATGTAAGTCAAAGTTAATAGAGAAAATGATGGAAGTTTGCCCAGTCTCCCTTTTCTCCCCTGCACAGTTTACTAAGGCAGCCTGCCAGTTTAGATACTCTACATACACATCTACTGTGTGTATGCGTTCCTACATGGAGGTGGATGTAGACTTAGATTTTTTAAGTATGTGTGAGTCTGGAACTTGTACAGCTTTTTATAACCTTCACATATTTCTTTCACTCTCTTTCACTTCTGTCTTTTAGGGGCATGCACACTTACACATACATATTTTCACACGAACACTCAGAACCTTTACAGCCATCAGCACATCACCAAATACACAGAGGAAAAAAAAGCTGTGGCAAATGCATTGCGTTAGTTCTCTGGCATTTCTGTGTCGGAAACTAAGAACTCTGTGTTCTGTGTGTAGGCCACTGATGTACAGCCATTCCTGAACCCCCTCAGCCAGCCACACACACAAATACAAGCGCCTCCGTTTTCCACTCTGCTCTCTCGTGCCATTCTGCTCTCTTTCTCAAACAAGACCCGCTTCAGGCCTGTGGGTTTATTTTAGTTATTCCTTGATGTTTTTTCTCTTTGCATATATTTTTTCAAAGGACTTGACCTTAATTTAGCACTTTGCCACGTGACATCGGTGGTCACAAAAGTCTAGGAAGTGTACTGTGTGAACTGGATCCCCATTTAAGCAGTGGTTTTGGTTGGGATTTTTATGGGTGTAGCATAGCGGCACTCCCTCAGAGCGTCATCGGCCTCCAAGATCTCTCTTTATTAATGCTGTTTTTAGAGGGAAATTACTATTTTCCACTCACCCTGTTTATGACCCCACCTCCCTTTCACATGGCCCAAACTCCATTTGTAAAAAAGCATGTTTATGAAGCAGCTTTGTGATAACTCTGAAAAGACAGGGAGCAAAAGTAACTCTTGCTCAACAACTCAATGCAGGCCAGTCGTGTTTCTGAAATATAATTCGGCTACTGTGAGTCACACAGAGAGCTGTTTCTTCCTCTTTTCTCTATCCTATCAGCACCTCCAACGGCAAGGTGTATGTGGCCCAGGTGAAGGAAAGAGCTGCTGCAAGGAAAATCTACGATGCTGCTAAGAAGCAAGGAAAATCAGCCGGACTTGTTGCTACCAAGTGAGTCCCAATCAACATTTGTTCTTTAACTTCTCAGGGCACGTAACATGATTTTCTTAAAGAATCACTTGCAGTGTCATGCTGCATGTGTAAGAGGACATTGACATCCAATCTGATATTGTGAGTTTTTCTTCTTCTTTACACTGCAATGTTCCAGAGAGAGGGAGATTGAGAAGTTTCGTGTGGCAGTGAGTGTGCCTTCAGGAACTCGGATGTTCTTCTCCCTGACCTACGAGGAGCTGTTAACTCGTCGACTTGGCCGCTATGAGCTCAGTTTGGGTCTGAGGCCGGGACAACCTGTGCACAACCTCACGTTAGATGTCAGTATAACAGAGAGGACAGGGATCAGTTTCATCAAAGTCCTTCCTCTCAAGACAAACCGACTGCTCTCCAACACTGCTCAAGGTGAAAATGTCAGTTGACAATAGCAGAATGAAGGAATAGTTCACAATTTGGGAAATAAGAGTATCCACTTTTCTGTGAGCATGAGAATATTGATACCACTCTTGAGTCTGTATAGTAAATGTGAGGATACAGCCAGCAGCTAGTTAGCTTGGCTTAGCAAAAAGATTGGAAACAGGGAAACAGCTGGCCTGGCTCTGTCCAGGTAACAAAGTCCTGTTGTCACCGTTCGACAGGAAGTCACTGTACCCAGCCAAGAAATACTACATAATCCCCCGTAAAACCACAACCTGTTATTTTTACACTTTTTACGGATTGTAAGGGGTGCTTTGGGTGCTGGTAGGCTAATGATCTTCTCTTTGGACAGAGCCAGGCCTGCTGCTTCCCCTGTTCCTAGTGTTGATGCTAGGCAAAGCTAATCAGCTTCTAGCTGGCTTCATATTTACCCTGCAAACATGAGAGTTGTATCAATCTTCTCATCTAACTCTTGGCAAGTTCATTTCTCACAATGTCAGACTATTTCTTTTCACTATTAATGGAAAGGCTCTAGATCATTACTTTAACCATTTTTGATTTTTGATACTACTTCATGGGCTTAACCATGAACTACTTTCCTACAGGTGATGCAGATGCCCCTGACTCCACTCATGTTGAGCTGAATGCTGGCTGTGCTCGAGTTCGGTACAATCCCACGCTACAGCAGCAGAACAGCATCTCCTCCCAAGGTCTAAATGCAGACTTCATCATTCAATATGATGTCGACCTCAGAGACCTCATGGGTGAAGTCCAGGTCAGGAGTATATTTTCATTTCTGGCTTGTCAAATACACATGAGTGTGCATGTTTGTCACAATATAAAATGTGTTTTTGCTAACAGTAAAGGTTTTTTTCTCCCCCCTTTATTTTGTATTTTTGCTCTCTCTTAGGTGTATGACGGCTACTTTGTGCATTACTTTGCACCCAGAGGGCTTCCTGTGGTCCCTAAGGATGTTATATTTGTCATAGATATCAGTGGCTCAATGATTGGCACTAAGATAAAACAGGTAAAGTGGACAAACCTCATGGACTCCCCATGGCTAGAGTTACTGTTGTAAAATGAGAGAACATAACAATATTCTGCAAAGATAATGTGGAATTGCTGTCAATAATTCTATTACTTTCTGTCAGTAGACCAAGCAGGCCATGAGCACCATTCTCGGGGACCTTAGAGAGGGAGACCACTTCAATATCATCACCTTCTCAGACAAGGTTCACACTTGGAAGAAAGGACGAACAGTGCGGGCAACTCGGCAGAATGTACGAGACGCCAAAGACTTTGTGAAGAGGATTATTGCAGAAGGATGTAAGTTGAAATGTGATATAGTCTGAGCTGTGGCATCGTAGTCAAAGTCAATGCATACTTTTTCCAACTACCTTATTTATTGTTTGTTCTCTTCCTTCAACACTGATCCCCGTTGTTCCACTTGTTTGTATCAGGGACCAATATCAATGCAGCTCTGCTTTCTGCTGCCCAGCTCATCAACCCTCCATCCTCTGCCTCTTCCAACCACCTCTCATCCCGACGTGTCCCTCTGGTAATTTTCCTTACTGATGGCGAGGCAACCATCGGAGTAACAACTGGTGACACCATCCTTAGCAATGCCAAGAAAGCTTTGGGCTCTGCCTCTCTGTTTGGCCTTGCATTTGGAGATGATGCAGACTTCCTCCTCCTGAAACGCCTGGCTCTGGATAACCGAGGCGTGGCTAGGATGGTGTATGAGGATGCAGACGCAGCCTTGCAGCTGAAAGGCTTTTATGATGAAGTAGCCAGCCCTTTGCTATCAGACATCCAGCTATCATATCTAGATGATCAGGCATTTGACATTACCCAATCCCTGTTCCCGAACTACTTCCAAGGTTCTGAGTTGGTGGTGGCTGGGAAGGTCAAACCCGGGGTCAAAGATTTAAAGGTATCAGTGTCTGCCACTGATTCAAAGCAACGTGTGAAGTTGGAGAACGATGTGTTGATTTCCCAAGCAAAGGGGAATGGGAGTGCAGATTCACAATACTGTTCAGCTGGCTTGGAAGGAATCTCCAGCTTTGTGCACCGTCTCTGGGCATATTTCACCATCAAAGAGCTTCTGTTGGCTAAACTGAACACTACCGACCCTGCAACTCAAAGATTACTGGCAGACAAGGCCACCAACCTATCCCTCAAATATAACTTTGTAACACCTGTCACTTCTTTAGTTGTAGTTAAGCCAGATGCAGATGAAGCAGCCGAAACTCCAACAACAGCAAAACCCACCACAGTAGCCACTATAACCACGACAGCAACGACAACTGCTACCACTAAAATATCAGCTGCTGGTGCAGCAAAGAAACCCAGCTCACCTTTTAACACTAGGCCTAACAAAACAAAACCAGATCCTCCTCAGCCACCTCCAAATACAACACAAACTAAAAAAATCTCATTGCCAACTTCCACAGCAAAAACAGTAGTTTCACCATCCAAGAAAACCACAACAACCTCAAGTCCCAGCTCTGTCAAAACTGCTCCAGCACCATTCTCTGGTAAAAAACCCACTCCTTCCCAAAATGAATCCAAAACCACCTCTCCTCCTCCTGCTGGTAAGATACCCACCTCTCTACTTAATGCTCTAAAAACAGCAGCACCCCCAGCACCTGGAAAAGTCTCCACCCCTCAGCCCAACGCCTTGAAAACAACCACTCCCTCAACAACCACCACACTGTTAACATTCATCACCAGCACCTCACCTCCACTCAGTTCAGTCAGAACTGACCTCTTACCCGAGCGACCCCTTACCCCACAGCCCAGTACAGAGAGGACAACCCTCCCAACTGTGCACTCCACACAGGCAAAAAACAGCACCACATCTGCTCATCAGCCTGAAATCCCCACTGGTCTGCCCGAGCTGCCGCTCACCTCCCCCACCCCAGCACCAGCTCCGACCGTGGAAGATAACAACACAAACTTAGAAACAGACCGGAGCATCGCCACCTTTGTGTCGGCCACCTTTGCTCCGATGCCTGGTGTAACAGATGGGCCACAACAGTGGGAAGCAGCAGGGTTTCTGGGTAGGTTGTAAACTCCGTTTTGTCTGCCGTTCACTGAGTCGCTTTTCTGTGCCCTGAGTTATACACTGAATATTAAGGGTTCAGACTTTGGTATATTTATTCCTGATTGAATGTTCTTTATCTCTCCACTAGATGTCTCTACTTTCATTCAGAGAAAAGGTGAAATTGAATTTTCTCTTTATATTGCAGTGACAGATCACATTTTCTGAGCTCTTAATTACACCTTATCTGGTAAAAATTAATTCAGATGTAATTAGGTAGGCTACAACTGTGATATGATGTGATGTATGATATTCTATCATAATCAGAACTGAATATAATTATTATCTTGTATTCTGTCTCTTATAGATATTGACCTTGTCAAAGGTGAGTATAACTAATGCTTTTTATCCTGCACTCCCTTTAAAAACAAAATTCCTTGGTGAGCAGCAGAATGTGTCCTGAGCGTAAGTTTGCTTCCATTTTCCAGACTATGATGCAACCTATGACTATGACTACGATCTCAGCTATGATGCCTGTAAGTTCAAAAGGGTCATTGGAGTACATTCTGTCCTGTAGTTGCTTCTCAGGCCTTAAATGTATGTTGTTGTATGTTAAATACGTTTTCTGATTTATTTTTAGGGGATGATGATTCTTCCGACACAAGATCGCTTGGTAAGCAGTAGGCGTAATTTAAAGCTGCTTGTCTTAAATAACATGTAATTTATTGTAGAGATACTGTTTGGAGTATTTGTCCAGTCCTGTCATTGGTTTCAGTGCTTTGGAGTGACGGGGTCTGTCCTTTAGTTGAATGTCTTGTGCTTTTAGAACCTCCATCCAGATTAAGAACTGTCCGGGTCTTCTCCTCCTCAGGTCAAGAACCTACATTTTATTCTTTTTTAATTGCACTATGAAATTCATTTTTATATTTTATGTATTAATGCTCATTGTTGTCTGTTGTAGTTGATGGAGATCCTCATTTTGTGGTCCAACTGCCAAAGCTGCATCAGAACCTATGTTTCACAGTAGACGGCAGGGCTAATGATGTTCTCAGACTGTTAGAAGACCAAGAAAGAGGTTTGCTTAGAAATAAGATCTCTTGTTTCAGTCAAGTGTATAAATGCACATGTTTTACAATCAACTAACACGTTACTACACCTGTATTACTAAACGTGTGTTCCCTTCCTACCCGAGGAATAATTGTCGATGGCCACCTAATGGGGGCTCCCTCCAAGCACGGTGTAGAAGACCGCTCCCGAACCTACTTCGACCAGCTCATCATTTCCTCAGCCTCAGGCGGCTCTGGTGACATCACAATCACCCTCACATTGGACGCTGTAGTGGTGGAAGGGGAAGGGCGGGATAACCTTCCCATCAATCAACAGGGATTGGTGACGAGGCAGGGTGTGACGGTCGCTGTGGACAACCATCGGAGCTGCTGGATCGAGCTGGCCAAGGGTGTCCGGTTCCTGGTTCAGTTCCACTACTATAAACACCCCAGCTATCTGCAGATGGCTCACCTGGGTTTTTACATCGCAGATGGACGGGGGTTGTCTGCTTCAACCCAAGGCCTACTGGGTATGTACACATCAGCCATTTACTGTCAACGCTTACTGATGCCACTCATTGTCCTTCAGTGGTAGAACAAGTACTCACATCATTTACTTAAGTAAAAGTACAAATATAATAATGTAAAAATACTCTTTTACAAGTAAAACTACTTAATTCAAAGTCATACTTAAGTAAGAACTCAGTCAAGTGTCTCAAGTATCAAAAGTATTCATTCTGCAAAAATAATGGCAGATATATTACTATATATGACATTATTAGATTGTTTATATTACTGCATCAAGCATTTTACTGTAGCTGGTTAAGGTGGTTTGCAATCTAGGGATCAGGCCCCTCAAAGGGTCACAAGAAAAATGTGAGGGGTCATGAGATAATTAATGTTGAAGAAATATTAAAGGAGAAAAAAGTTGTGCTATGAAAATTGTTGCTAATGTTTTGGACTTTTCTCTAGTCTTTGCTTTTTTTTAATGAAATATTGGATACATTTAACTTCTTTGGGTCTAAGACTGTTATTAAAATGATTACTTCTAAAATCTTAAAAAGGAAACTTAAAAGTAACTAGTAACTACAGCTTTCAAATAATTGTAGTGAAGTAAAAAAATACAATAATTACCTTTGAAATGTAGTGGGGCAAAATATAAATTAGCAAAAAATTGTAAGTACAAATACTTCTGTTTAATAAGTACAGTACTTAAGTAAATGCTTTTAGTTACTACTACTATTCTTAGTCCACCGCTGCTGTGCTTTATCTGTCTACAGGCCAGTTTCAGCATGCTGACATGAGTGTAACTGCGGTGAAGGATTATCCAGATGGAAGTGTTCACAAGGAGGTGATATTAGCCAGGGGGATCCTCAGGTGGGGATCAGAGCACATGCCAGTCACCTTGCAAGATAAGTCGCTGAAAGATACGGTGCGGAAACGCCACACAGGCAAGTGCTGGGTGGTGCCCAAGGCAGAGGTAGAGAGACTGCTGGGTCATCCATACGAGAGCTACGTGGTGGATCATGTGTAATTCTAGCTGAGTCGGCTCCACCTTGTTGCCTATCTGCTGCACAGCTCAGGTCACAGCAATTATGGTGGCATAGTTATCGTACAAAGCATGAGCAAGCACTGGGACTCCATGAGGCTAAAATGACATGTTGCAGTGACTGAATAAAACTGTCTAATATTCTGTAAGGAGCAGTGAAAAACAGGTGTGGTTGTAAAAGCGGGAAAGAGGGTGTGTAAGATTAGAGACTACAGGGAAAGTTGCATCTAAAGGAGTAATGAAGACGTACAGTTTGACAAATATAGTGACGGACTGAACGATGCTGTTGTTCTCTGTCACTGAATTTGAATTGGATTCAAGGTCTGGGTTATTTATCTATGAGAGAAACATAGATCATGTATCTATGTTCTCCTGTTTGCATGGCAACCACAAAATGTCCATTTGTTCTGCAGCAGTTTGTGTCTGCTTCAAAATGTCTTGTACACAACTTCAACGTTTATCAGATTATTCTTATATTTCATCATGGAATGATGATTAGGTGAAACCAGATTCTTCTACTTTAGAATCATCTGTAATTATTAAAACTGTATCATTGTGTAAGTTATATTTTTAGTACAAGTGTATATAAAATATTATTATATGTATGTATGTATGTATGTATGTATTTATAGATAATCTTCCCAGAACACGTTACTCACCTGGATGTAGTGATTGCATCCTCAAAAAGTAACAGAAAAACAAAATCAGGGTCTTTCCAGGTTTGCCATGTGCTTTTTATTTTTCTATCATTTCATTCATAGTTTAATTCATTTTATTTGTTACACAAGACATTAGGCATTGTTCACGTACTAGTGATCAAACAAGGACAGTAAGTTTTCTACTACTCAGCCTGAAGTATTTCTTTTGTCAATTTTAAGGGATATTGTCAATAGTGGTTATCGAAAGGCCAAACTGGATGGAAATTAAAACAGTACAACCACACATGAGGCTTTTGTTTTCAATAAATAAAAAAAGAGTGGACAGTATCTGATGCTGAGGAAGGGCAGGGGAGGGAGGTCTTCAAATATATCTATGTTCAAAGAGTAAACTGTTTTCCAGTTTTATCAGATAATATATTTCCAGGATGACTGTAGAACGATGCACAGTGAGAAGTGAATACATAGCTGTATAGATTTTGATTTCAGCTCCATGACTGATGTTGTTATCCTTCCATCAAAACCTGTTTCTTAGGAATGCTACTGATGATATTAAATCATGATGCAACACTGGAATGTTCACTGAATAAGGTGAATATAACACATGACACAGCAAATAACAAAAACAAATAATGTGAATTTGTGTGCATCACTTTTAAAAAACCCATTTTATCCTCCTAACATAATCTAATAGCATAGCATATTCAGCATTTGACATAAACCTTTCAACAGTACGTCAGTGAAATTCAAATAAATAGAGCATAACAATAAGACACGTCGACACCTGAAACACGCGATAACTTTGTTTAGAGTTGTTAAGGGATTTGTCGTGGTGGATGAAGTGAAATGGAACTGCTTCAATGTTTAAAGGAAACGACCAGTGCGTCTCATCTGTTTGTTGTTGTTGTTGTGAAACAAGCCGTGCCACAGATCAATCTGTCTGTAAGTGAGTGTGCACTGCAGAAATATGAGGGACTGCCTCGGCTCAGGTGTACAGTAACAGCCTTGATTTGGTAGGAAACAATATCCCTTCTATAGTATTCAGTCAGATCTGCAGATCAACATAACGCTACAAACTGTACTTCTAACATTGTCAGCAACGTTTGCCAATAACAGCAACACCATTTTTGGCACAAGACTGACCTGCCACTAACAGTTAGTTGAAACAAAGCAGTCAATTTTTGAATAAGACCCCAAATTAAGGCTACAACCAAATAAAAGCATCTTGGTTCATTCTTGTAGGGGCGGCACCAGAAACTGTGGCTTCAAACCTTTGCTACAAAGTCTTTTAAACTTATGGGAGTATCCAGCTTTTTGAACTTTATGACAACTACAATTTTTCATAGGATTTAGTCCCTAGGGGAATGACTCATCTAAATGACATACACAAGGGTTGAAACAACCTAGACACAATCTGGTGCTTTCACTATGAGCCGAAATTTCAGTCTTCACCATCTTCACTCGAAAGTGAAACCTTTCAAAAGTCAAATCCAAAACATTCCCCACATACATTCCTTTCCCCGTGGCACACTTCCTCGCATCTCAACAAGTATAGTTTGCCATAATCCATTTGTTTTCCTCATCACTCATTCCATATCTTCCAGAATACTTCATAGAAAGTCTCAACACTAGAATATCCTCTCCATACTTCGTTTGCTCCTGACATTCCCTTTTAAATGTTCAACTTGAGGACCACAGTTTCAACCTCAGATCTGTAAACTTCATAACTTCAGCCAGTGAAATGTGCACCAAATATATAGAAATAAAACTCTTCAATAATTTAAAATGTTAGAAAGTAAACTATTCAAATTCAAAATTCACACAACAGGGATAAACAAAGGAATCATTTTTTGGAGGGGGGTTGATGACAGTTAATAGCCACTGGTTAGCTTGCCTGCTAGCATAGGGAACACAACAGCATTGCAAAGTGAGCACTATCAGTTGACAGAACAGCCTATTTATATGTAATTTTTCATCACATTGTTTTTGCCTGACCAACAGATTTTGCCAAAAGGAGCGACGTCTTTTGTAGTAACACAGGTAAAAGACCAAGTAAAGAGAAAAGTGAAAGCAGGGTTGACAGGAGCGATGCGTGGAATGGTCCAGCCTTCATACCGCAGTGTCATTTGAGTCTATGTACAATACTACTGTGTGTAAAAGATGCATGCATGTCAACTGGAGGTGACCCTTCCAGAGGATTCTACACTAAGCCATTACAGATCACTCATGTCAGAGCTTGCAGTTCACACCTCTCAGTGCTATCAATCTTCTATCCACCCAGCTTCTGATATGAGGAGAAAGACGTTACAGAAAGAATGAAATGCTTTGAAAATCGTCAACAACAAGTAATAAATTCACCTCTAATGATAATATTTAAGACATGATTATACTGTAAATTCTACAATGGAATGAAAGACCATATCAACCCTGCTTTTAGGTGACAGAGAGAGAAGGAGTGTGAGTATTTGAACAGTGTGTGTGTGTGTGTGTTTGGGAGCATTTTGAACGTACGTCAAGAGAGAGAGGGACGTGAGGAAAAGGAGGCAAACTGGCTGAGGGCAGGCAGATCCCAGAAGCACACGCTCGCCCCCCCATCCCCCATTTTTTTATAGCAGTGCTCAGGCAGTCTCAGCCCTTTACCAGCTCTGCCGGCTCTTTTGCCCCTGTTTTCGCCCAGCCTCCTCTCCCAGCCCCGCCCTCTCTTGGAAGCCACCTCTACCGCTCACTGCTCATCCTCTCCAAACACATCATTCTGTTTGCGCTTCATATTCTCAAAGTCAAAGTCGCTCCCGGTCATGCGTTTGTAGATGTCCTTGATGTCGTTGCAAGTGGTCTCGAAGTGAGTGGTGGCATCATAGGACCTTGAGGCAAAGACCTGGGACAGATAAAGTAACAGGACTGAGTACAGCCATGCTCTGTAGGGCTGTATTTGAGCAAAATGCTAACATCAGCATCAACTTTAAAACCTCTTGGTGTCGATAGAGGAAAAGTCAGGGGATCATCAAAGTCATTAGGCTTCATCCTCTTGGGACCATGAATGTACAACATTTCATGGCAATCCATCAAACAGTGAAATTTCAGTCCGGACCAAAGTGGGGGACTGACTGATCGACAATACCATCCATAGAGCCACAATGCTAGCATACTATGAGCACCATTTATATGTACTTCTCAGGAATTAGCTTTTTATAGTTGCAATGTTGTTTGGGAGAATTTCTCTTACCTGGCTCTCAGTTCCATCATCTGTGGGCTCATAAAGGTCACTAATAGCCACAAACCTGTCAAAAGAACAACAAACTCCATTAACAAAAGCTAGTTACTAATCACAAGACTTCGTACATATTTTTAAATCGTGTTATCATCGTGTTTAGTTTCACTGCTTGTTTGTCAAACCATAAATGCATGAAATGTTGAAATGCTAACTTTTGGTCGATGGGCTCCAGCAGCTCCAGGGCAGGCTCTATCTCAGCCTCGGGCTCACTGGTTTCCACTGTGGTGCTGACGATGGCAATGTACTTCCCCTGGGCTGCCACGTTGTGAGCATAAGAGATCATGCACACGTAGATGTCTGGAGAATTGACAAAAGGGTCAAGTGGAAGAGAAAGTCAAATCAAAGATACCAAAAACCTGCATTCATTTGGGGTCAGTGGAAACAAGCTGTTAACACATTACTGATATACCCTTTAAAAGTTTATATGGGGAACTTGTTAGCCAGCAGTTGCTTATTTACACACCCAGCAGATAGGGAGTAACATTAGCATTTATTTTGAGTTGTATTTCTGGCCACCTGATGAATGTAGGTCCAATACTCACTCCTCTTTTAGCTCTGTCTTGGTCTGTACCAACTCCTAAGGTAAATATTTGGCTCTTCAGCTGTTAAATGTACCACTATATTCACCAGCTAGTTGCTAACTGTAGCTGTTATTGCCTGGCAGGAAGCGTACAGTGGGTTTTAGGAACCTTTTTACTGAAAACAGTCAGTAGTGTCTGTAAACAACCTGATGAGAGCCGTAAAAGTGAACAAGAACAGTAAAGTTGTGGATCAGAAAAGCAAAACAATGAAATCAAAGATGATAAAACACTGTAGAGTTGAAAGAAATCACTGTGTCGGGTTAGTTTGTTATTATGAGCAAACCTTTTCACATCAAGTGGTCAAGTGATCCATTGTTAATTGAAAATTGATTTTAGCCAAGTTAAGAAAAATATTAATACGTTAACATTCAGCATGGACGCTGATGTTTTTTAGTTATTTTGCTAAAAGCTATGTGGGAACTAAAATTTGCACATTTCTATGAAAGAGTATAATTTAGAAAAATGTATTACTTGATTTGTCCCCACGAGAGTGCTCCTAGAGCTCCAGGGCTTCAAATCAAATCAATTACATTACAGAAAACCCATCTTTGTTATTGATTTTACTGCTCCAATATCTAAGAACTCCGTCAAAGTGCGCTGTACCTTTTAGCTGATTTGTTGAACAGTGACTATGATCCTTACCTGAGTTGCGGTTAACCTGATTCTGAGGAATGATGATCTGGCAGGAGTTGGCGTCGTTAGTGTTTTTGATGGGGTGGCTGAGGACGCAGATCACACGGATCACCTGACCCGCCTTACGGACGCGGTCTGGGATGTAGCTGGGGTCGCAGATGAGCTGCTTACAACGAGCCACCTGCAGCAGGAATGAGACAGCGAAGCAGCGTTTCAAAGGACTTAACTTTCTTATCCCCTCCGGGTGAGTATATCTGGGTGAATAAACTAAATGGCATTGTTAAATTTCCTTGCTGTACCTCGCCCTCAGACTTCACTCCAATCACATGGCCACCTTCCATCACTATCTCATCCACTGGTTTGTTCAGCATGTAGGTCCCTCCGTAGATTGCACTCAATCTAAAATGAGAAGTGAAGAAAAACTGTTAAATCATGGAGTGGGTTTGTATTGCAGTATTTATTATTAAAGAATAGCTGTAATCTAAGTATTATAGCACTATATAAATGTTTAAAAAAAATAACCTGGCAAATCCCTGCGGCAGCTCTCCCAGACCATACAGCGGGTAGAGATAGGGGCTCTTCCCATACCGTGCCAGCGATTCGCTGTACAACTTGATACGATTGACCGTCTCCAAACAGGGAACATCAAGATAGCTGAAGGAGATGAGAAAACAACAAAGTAAGATAATAAATAGGATAACAGAAAAAGCAGTTAGATAGTACATTGAAGCTTTATTAAACCTTCATTAGAGCATTATCATCTTTAGACATGTTAAAATTATTAATGCAAAATTCAGCAATCACGAGAGAGACACAAGACTTGATAATAGGTTTATGTTTGACATTATGCTGTTGGTTCTTACTCATCTGTCCTGTAGAGGGCCAGGGCGTGGCCAGTGAAGTCAATGACATCCTGGCCGAGGTCAAACTTCTTGTAAACATCTCTCATCGTTGTGGTTTTGGGGTCCACGCCCTCAAAGGTCTTGGGGTCATTCTCATCAAAGTTGGCAACAAAGACTAAGAATTTCCGAAACCTTCGCTTCTCAAACATTCCCATCAGATCTGGAAATTCAAACAATTGGTGATTACTTAAATGTGATTTAAATACTCTACTCTTTGTTTATTAAGTGTGACGAAAGGTCTCAGAGCGGCTTACTTGAAGCTAGCGCCTCAGTCTCGGTCGACGGCACCTTGTAGATCTTTCCTCCTTTGTAGACAAAGCTTCCCTCCACTACTTTAAAGTCCAAGTACCGTGTCACTTCTGTGTATAGCAGCATCTTCACAAGCTGACCTGCGATCACACACACAAACAAGTCACATCGTTATTTGTCATTATTTGTCTTTAACCTTCAGCAATCAAACATTCTGCCTTGATGGCATCAAGACAGAGAATACCACTTCACCCATAAGTAGTTAATTCATTATTCCTGTAATCAGTAATACTAGGAACAAATCGTCCAACTATCTCCTCTGTATATTATGAGTTATGCCAGAGAGTTTTATGGTGATACATTCATTCCTTTATGTTGAAAATTAGTGAAGTGGGACTGACCGTTGGCCATGAGGAACTTGGGGATGAGGTCAACGTTCCAGTCCCTTCCTCTGCCCATTGACTCAGGCGGGCTATCTGGAAGATTGAAGCGCTTGTACAGCTGAGGAAAAGGACAGTAAAGAGAAACATAAACTACATCCTGTGAGGCTGAAATCTATGAAACTGATCTAAATCTAAAGCATTAAGGAGGATAACATGGCGAGCAAATGAAGACAATAAAAACAGCAGCTGGTGCACAATGGCACTGGAAGTAAAATGAGATGTACTGAGGGACATAAAATATATTGATTGGTTTTATAGATCCCAGGAGCCCTTTACCTCCTCCAGAGGGGTGATGGAAGAGCTCTCGCCACCATAGTAGGGGTTCCTGTCCATATGCAGAACCTTTTTCCCATTCACAGACATGATACCGGACAGAATGCATTCCTGCATAAAACAAGATTTAATAGTCAACATCAGTACTATCTACATCAATATGAAAATGAAAGGACAACAATTAAAAAAATTGAGGGAAGAGGTCTGTCATAAAGAAAGGGAGAGATTTAATAGACATAAAGGGAAGTTGAGAGGGTTTGACAGAAGGCTGCAGGGAAGACATAAACGGTGCGCGCATGCGCGATTAGATCGTTTCACCCATTTATCTACTGTCAAAATAATAATAATGAACATAATATCGGCTACATATTTAATAATGTGTATTCTTAATATCAATATCCGAATGACATTATCGCATCATAAATTACACATTATTATGAGTGAGAAAAGGATATTTGATACCTTTTATAAAACTACCAAAATGTCGACTTTTGCGCAAGCGAAAACACAGATTCTTATCACATAAAATGTATAAGGCATATTTCTGCCGCATTGGGTGTGATAAGTGAGGGTAATTACGGCGACAGTAGCAGCAGTGAAAGGCTCAGTCATTTAATAAACCCAGGCCTGCGCCAACCTCAGGATGGAGGCCTGTCTATGGAGAGGGGACCATGACACACGGGGGTTACGCCTAAAAGATGCTACTGGCTGTAACACAACACTGATCCGGCTGTGAGAGCAAGAAATACATTGTTCGATTCCTGTCATGCCCAAGCAGGTCGACTGGTGCAATTAGCGACTTTTCTAAATCTCTTATCACAATTATCTAATGTCACAAGCGCACAGGGATGCAAGAGGCTTTCACTTCTGGGCTCGGATAGATGGGAGGATATCGGGCCCATAGTCTGGCTAAAATAATCATATGGAAGTTCGCACAATTAATCGTTTTTTTGTTTTGTTTTTTGTTGCTGCGCAAAGCAAATGAAGCTTGACTACTTACTGTGAGTCCGGTGCCCAAAACGATCACATCATATTCCTCATCCATGTTGTATCACCGCCTCTCCCGTCTCGCCCTCTTTTTGCCTTGAGAAATGAAGGGTATTGAAGGAAAGAATGCCAGTGAGTCCACAAAAACGGGGATTTGGCTCCCTTTCTCTGCCCAAGTGCTTTAAAACGGCTCGCTAAAAGTTAAATGTTATTTATTAATCATAAGGCATTAATGACCAATGGAGTATAATTTCCACACTGTCACCGGCGAGGACGACCAAAGATGGCCCTGATCGTGTAGCACTCTAGAACAGGGTGAGTGCGCGTCGGCAAATAGTGCGCATCCTCCTTCTCTCTTCCTTTCTAACCAAACAATGGACTCAAACTAAAAAGCTTGCTGTAATAGGAAACACGGACCTGTGCTGCTTTATTGAACGGCTGCACACATGTTCGGTTTCTTTTTAGAGTTTAACTTGGAGTTTATCATTTTTTTGGTAATTTAAAATACGTTTTGTCCAAGTCTGTGCGGTCTCTATTTCCTTTTCTATCATTCCTTTCCAGTTGTAGGCGCAGCGTTGCGTGGATGCAGGCCGTGGTATCCCTCCGCAACCACAGCTGTGCGGAGTTGGTTTCGCTGACTGGTCGCAGGACTTTACAATAGAAAAAAAAAAAACTTTAAATGAATTTTATGCTTGTTTATTTCTGTTTTACAGTGTTTATACATGCGTCATATGATGGGACATCATGCAAGAGTAAGTTAGTGAAATGCCCAAATTTAAGAGCGTATCAGCACCATGGACAGTTTCCAGGTATCATTCATGCACAAAGGACAAAGTTCAGCAGCATTATATCATTAAACACATCACATGCCTGTTTATGGCACAGTCAGTATTATACCAGCCAGTGCAGTTTATTGTTATAAGTTGGCATCAAGTGCTCTGCTAAGCACTCAACTATAAGCAGACTATAAGCGTCTGTCTCAGGCAGGTCGAGGCAGCAAATGTTAGCTGAGTCCAGGCTGGAGGGAAATCCAATTTATTTATTAGTTTTTGAAGTGACAAAAAGGAGAAGATATGCAGCCTATCGTGGCGTTTTAAAAGGGTAGCTGTGGGCAGGGCTGGCAGAATGAAAGAAGCAGGAAGTGTTTTCTTGCACATGACAGTCAGCTGGTTTGCGTCACGTGATCAGAGCTTTGCGGAAAAACTGAACGGAAATGGCAGGATCGAGTCTACTTCGATTTATGGCGTTTATTGCCTTTTTATTCGCCTTTTTCGCTACAGGGAGCTCCACTGCTCAAGTGCCAGTTCTACTATGGTCCAGTGGCAGGTAATAGTTCATTATTTATTATTTATGTGTCAAGTAAGACTCAATTTAACAGTCTACACAAGCTACCTGTGCTTCATGCTAATGCTAACACTTGCAGCTAGCTAACTGTGTTAATTAGACCCAGACAAAATTCATAGGCTAAAATCTAAAAAACAGAATTTATGACGTTTGTTTTAACTCAGAAAGCTTAGTTTTTCCTCAGTTGATTTGGTGCAATTAGTCGATTAAAATAATGTCTCTCAAAACACTGAAATCTCTTGCTGATTGTTCACTATAAATTAATTTCTTGTTGCTTGCATACATAATTGACAGGACCCAGTGATGGATAAAATGGATTGCACTGCTTTTCTAATTATGTGTGTTACACTCAGACGTGCAGCATGAATCATGACATGTTTTTGCCAAATATAATGTTACATAAATTTATAATAATCTTGCAGTGTCCTATATATTTGAGATGCACCTATAAACTAACGTGCTAGCATCAATAGAGTTACCACAGTTCCTTTTTATATGGAGCAGGCAGACATTAGACAGGGGCAACTGTAAGAGGTGGTTTTGTCAGGAGGCACAGAGTTGATGGTTTCACAATGACAAATTTTGTATTGTAAGGGCAAATATCACATATGAAATAGATTCAAATTTGGACAGTCACAACTGACATGCGATTGTTTTATGGAGACATTTGTCCTGACAGCTTTATTTTTTATCTTTAGGAACAACTGTTACTCTAATCGTGATTCCAATACGAGTATAAGGTGCTATACTAACAGTAAAAAAACATGTGAATGTAGAGCTTTTACTTAGAACTAGCGTTTGCATGACAAGAGTTTTGATGTATACCATTCAGTTGGCTGTGGATATAATTTGACTTCGCTAAAGAGTGAAGGAGAAATGTTTGACTGTCTTGAGTGTCGGTCTTTTGCAGGACACATTAAGTGCTTTGCTGCACAGTATAAACTGATGCGATGTTTGTACTTAATGTTCAGACTACTGCAACACTGTTGAAAAAAATGTGTTGGGTATCAAAATTTGTCTTTATCTTTCCTGCATGTTTAGCTTACCACCACTGGCCTCACCTGCAGCTGGTCACATCACATCCAATGACCAGTTGACTGCCTACCTCACATCTGCCTTTGGCTCTGGCCCACACACTGTGCTGTTCTTTCTGCAGGACAAGGTCAGTCCCTGAGACATGAAATCTATATTCCTGCTCTGTAGCAAATGTGGTTACAGTATGTAACTAAACAGATTGGAGCTTCTCTGATGTTTTCATAGATTTCACTGTTCATCTATCAGAAAGAAAGCTTATCCTTGGATATGTAAGTTGTGTAAAACAGGGTAGTGATGAGTCATGTGTAGTTGCACTGTGGTCCCATGTGACACAGTCTTCTCATTCTGGTGTGACAATGAGCTTTGGCATTACTTCCCCTTTGACAGTTCCCCTGTAACACATTGTTAGGGTCTATTCTCTTATTGTTGTGACTTATTAATTGGATTGATGTTTTTGTTCATTGTAGTTTTCATTATACGTTTGAATTTCTCAAATGTTTTATTGTCCTTATTTGTGTTCAGTTAAGCAAAGATGACTTCACAGTCTTTGGTGGAGTGTTTGGAAACAAACAGGATAGTGCCTTTCCAAACCTTGAGGTATGTTTTAATAACATATATATTAGTCCTAAATGAAGATGATTTTGTCTGGCTAATAACACTGATAATTTTTTCCACCCACACCTTTTTAAGACTGCACTGCAGTCGTCTTCCTCATCAGTGACGCTCCCCGCATCAGAGTGGTCAGGCTCCTCTGCCATCCTATCTCTGCTGCAAGAGAAGCTTGGTGTCTCGCCTTTGCTTGTAGACGCAGACACTCTGTCGCATCTCAGCGTCGACACATCTGTCAGCAATCTACTGCTCATCAATCTTCCTTATTGTACTGAGTAAGACTTGTTTTCCGCAGGATATCAGTGAATAGAAGTATACTTTTACTATTTTTAACTAGGTGAAAATTAACATTTTGACTGTTTTATAGCTTGCACAGGTCTTGCAAGGAAGTCCTACGTGACAATGGTGAGTTTTAACTGTTAAGAGATTTAATAGTTTAAAAGAATCAGAATTTTTTTTTTTTTATTGTGCAGTGTGTAACTCAATGTATTTTGCTTCAACAGATGAGATTATTGGAAAGGTTCTGAGTGTCATGAAAGCTCAAAATATCCCCTACACTGCGATATACACAGGGCTCCAGCCATCCCGAGTAAGAACTACTAACTAGCACACATAAAAGTTGGCACATCATGTACCAGAATAGTACTTTTTTATTGATTTCTGTGTGTTGCAATATTAATTTTGATTTAATTATCACTGCAGGTGATTTCAGAGACATCTGTGTCTAACCAGCTGGTGGGGCGGTCCTTGCTCCAAGCAGTTGTACCTGATGTCAAACCTCCCATCATGTTCAATGTATCCAACAGCCCTTGCATAATGCTTTGGGCTCAGAATCTCAATATCAGCCTCTCAAGCACTTCACAGTGGATCGACCTTGCTGCACAAACACCTTCCTTGACAGGATCCCTGTGTAACGGCAGTAGCTCACTGTGAGATGGCCAGCATGTTAGCATTTTTTGTGCCTGTTGACAAGAAGGCGTCAGTTTTGTGTTATTTACAGGAAATAAATAATTTAATGGATTCTTCTTTTCTCACTTTAGGCTTGTCCTCACTTATGAATCGGGTTTTACCCTAAGGTAAGATAAATTGCTATTTAAAGGAATAGCTAGATGTTTAGTTATCAAATTGGATAAGAAGATCAATACGTCTCAAATATGTTACTGCAGCCAGTTAGCTTAGCACCAAGACCGGAAACCGAGTAAAACCATTACCATACCTCGATCAAAATACTTGAGTTTTGAAAGTGGATTTTCTTACCTTTGGACACAGCCAGGCAACCTGCTTCTTCTTTTCAAGTCTCAATACTAAGAGAAGCTAACTGGCTGCCGGTTGTAACTTCATATTTAAGGGACAGGTGTGAGAGTGGTATTTATCTTCTCATCTAACTCTCAGAAAGACAAATAAGCATATTGTTGCAAAATTTTGTACTATTCCTTTTAATCATTTGTTTAAAATATTTGTGACTAAATTAGCATCATCTTAGCTATTAAACTTATTCACCATGTTTTCAGGGGCATTAATCTTAAGCTAAATCACTGTCTCAGCCCCAGCATAATTTTTAGACTACTTTTTATCATCTATTAAATCTGTGTTAAGTGTGCCAGAGTAGTGCCATGTATAACTTGTCTGTCTTCACTGTCTTGATACTACCACTAGAAGTCGACCAGTCAGTAATTTTCAAATTATACACACGGGTGTAATTTATTGGACAATTTAGCCATCAATAATTAATAACAATCATAAACATTTGTCACAATTCTATCTATGAATACAAGTCTTTTACATTTAAATGCTGTCGTAAAGATAATCAGCAACACTTTTCTGTTCATCTCCAGTTTTGCCATGAGACGGCAGTTTTACCCTGTGTCTGCACGAAACTGGTTTACCTTGGACTCTGTGCAACTGCAGTCTGGTGGTCTAACTGCATCTTTCATCGGGAGTCGCAACATCTACGCCCCTGCAGAGTATTCCTACCACTGCCAGTCTGTCAACAGCTTCCAAGATGCTCTGCTAGTGCCAAACAACACCAACCAAAACACCACACAGTGGAGGCTCAATTTTATCGACTTCCAGGTACAGCTATAATACTGCATTTACATCCTGACACTCAATATTCCAGCAGCAGTGCCTCATGTACATTGTAAATGGAGTGTTTTCTAATAACCAGGTGTCTGTATAATCTTCCTGTTGTTCATTGAGTGCTTTATGCATGTCATTTTATGATACAGATTCAAGGCTTTGGTTTGGCCAACGGAACAGATTTCTCCTATGCCAGTGACTGTGCAGGTTTCTTCACCCCAGGGATTTGGATGGGGCTGCTGACTGCACTGCTCATGCTGTTAATTTTAGTGTATGGTCTGCACATGATCATGCAGTTAAACACTATGGATCGCTTTGACGACCCCAAAGGTCCATCGATTTCAGTGCCTCAGTCGGAGTGAAGCATTTCCAAACACACACACTAGGCCCTCAGTCCTTTAGTGCCTCCTATTAGATCGTGGACCTGGGAGAGTCCCTCCTTGTCATGAAGCTTTTGTATGTTTGGGCCTTTTTTCTTTGAAGATATCTCTCCTGTAGTTTGCTGTCCTGAATCCTTCCACAGTTGTCTTTGGGATACCTTGCATTCCACTTCATCTCTCTACATTTACAAGTGCCAAAATGGGTGCTTTTTCACAAGTTGAGTTTGAGTGCATGTGCTAAAAGATGTTTCTGTGCCAGTGTTGGCCAGAAATATTTAGCAATAATTTATCATAAAAGAGAATGCCTTATGTGCCAACATGGATGTTTTGCTGGATGCTGTAGGACAGTTTCAGACCTCAGTTCTTAATTTTTTATTTTTCCAACTGTAATTTAAAAGACTACTGGTTATGCAAGAAGTGCCTGTATATAAAGAGTATATTGCGGTTTGTTCTGAAATGTTGCAGTTTTGGGATTGCCTTAAAAAGTATGCTAATACTTTTGTTAAGTGCCACCACTTCAATCCGATGTTTTATTGACAAGTAATTTATTTATAAAGAATTACCTTTTAACGCTTGGCCTACCTTTTTAAATTTTACCTCTTGCTTCGGGTTCATCAACGCATTTAATAGCAGTGCCTCTGTTCTGCTTTTGTCAAAACGTATTGATGTGCAATTGTCACGACATGTACATTGTCTTTAATTGAAAATAAAGATATCTATAAATTGTGATTTTTAGTTGTGTTGTTTAACGTTTTGAATGCAAAGACGCACAAGTAAAGTGTAGCCTAATCTTTCGCACCAAGAAGTTTGTCAATAATTTGCATAATTATGTGCCACTTCCTGTTGCTATAGTTACAGCAAGTCAAAACACGACGACGTCATGCCATAGCTTTTCTTTTGCCTACAGTTCAGTCGCCCACAGGTAGTATCCAAAATGTCAGCAGCTCCTGATCGGAGGGTAATATTTGGCAGCTGTCAGGAGAGGAGACTCTTTCCTCTTAATTACGCACCAGACCGGCTGGGAAACCAAATGACACGAGAGGAAGCGCCACATGTCGGCCCTGGCTGCTATGACAACCACGAGGTTCGTCTCTGAAATAACTGGCCAAGCTAATAAGGGTTAACATTTTTATTTGTAGATTAATTTGTCCTCGTTCCGTCTTTCATACAGAAGTCATTGTGTTTGAAATCATAGTTTTCTAGTCGTTTGCTTTGTGGTAAGTGTACATGTTATATGACAAAAGGCCTAAAATCTTTACATTTCCTTTACAGTTTGGCACCATAGTTTATGACTTACAGAGGACTCCGGGGAGTAAGAAAGGATATGGTCTCTCTGCGAGGACTGCAGCTCGCTTTCCCCAAGGTAGCAAGGTACATGAAACACAAATTAGTCTATTTTGGTTCCTGTAGCCTAAATTACATTTAAGTTGCCATTGCTGGTTTATAGGGCCCCTCCACCCACTTTACACATGAAGTTCAGTTTATTTGTCACAAGGCCTGTGCTGTAAAATATAGGTCTCTGAAAGGTGCTTTTCAAAGCTCGGGGTTATCCAAGCCTGGGGTTTTGAAACTTCAATTTAAACAAACAGTACATCTATTAATACAAACTGGAGGTTGGGAGGGAGTGGGCATTTAGGCAGCAGTGAAGGAATAAACATCCCAAACTTAAGTAGAAGTACTAATACTACACTATAGAAATACTCCTGCATTCAAACTTACATATTTTTGTTTAAGTAAGTAGTAAGTATTATCTGCAAATTAAGTAAAAGTACTGATTTTGCAGAAAAATGCTCCCTGGCAGTGTTTTACTATTGTATGTGATGTTTGTGGATTAATATTACTGCTGCATTAATGTGTATGTTGCTTTTTACTGCTGTAGATGTTTAAAGTTGAGGAAATTTAACTACTTTACGGTTTGGTAGTTTAATCTGCAGCTATCATTATATTCTGTAAGATAATCATGTTTGTTTGAGAACCATTTAGCTACCTTTTCCAGCTGATCCCAGGGGGGTGTAAACTAGTTTATTTATCTTAAGGATACTTTTATAAACCTATAAAAGGAACACTTAATCAGTTTATCAGAAATTCATCATCAAATTTGGAGATAAATGGTTTTCATTGGACAGGAAGAGTGTGGAAACTTGTAATATTAAAGCTGCCCCAAGTACAATGTTTCCCTCTGAATGTGGTGGAGCAGAAGTACACTGCTCAAAAAATAAAGGGAACACTAAAAGAACACATCCTAGATCTGAATGAATGAATGAAATAATCTCATTAAATAATCCTTTCTTTACATAGTTGAATGTGCTGACAACAAAATCACACAAAAATTATCAATGGAAATCATATTTATCAACCCATGGAGGTTGGAGTCGCACTCAAAATCAAAGTGGAAAACCACACTACAGGCCGATCCAACTTTGATGTAATGTCCTTAAAACAAGTCAGCTCAGTAGTGTGTGTGGCCTCCACGTGCCTGTATGACCTAGCATTGTCTTGCATTAGCGGGAACCCTAGGCCGACCGCACCAGCATATGGTCTCACAAGGGGTCTGAGGATCTCATCTCGGTACCTAATGGCAGTCAGGCTACCTGCACATGGAGGGCTGTGCGGCCCCTCAAAGAAATGCCACCCCACACCATTACTGACCCACTGCCAAACCGGTCATGCTGGAGGATGTTGCAGGCAGCAGAACTTTCTCCACGGCGTCTCCAGACTCTGTCACGTCTGTCACATGTGCTCAGTGTGAACCTGCTTTCATCTGTGAAGAGCACAGGGCACCAGTGGTGCATTTGCCAATCTTGGTGTTCTCTGGCAAATGCCAAACGTCCTGCACGGTGTTGGGCTGTAAGCACAACCCCCACCTGTGGATGTCGGGCCCTCATACCACCCTCAGGGCTCTGGCAGTGCTCCTCCTGCTCCTCCTTACACAAAGGCGGAGGTAGCGGTCCTGCTGCTGGGTTGTTGCCCTCCTACGGCCTCCTCCACGTCTCCTGATGTACTGGCCTGTCTCCTGGTGGCGCCTCCCATGCTCTGGACGCTACGCTGACAGACAGCAAATCTTCTTGCCGCAGCTCGCACTGATGTGTCATCCTGGATGAGCTGCACTACCTGAGCCACTTGTGTGGGTTGTAGACTCCGTCTCATGCTACCACTAGAGTGAAAGCACCGCCAGCGTTTAAAACTGACCAAAACATCAGCCAGGAAGCATAGGAACTGAGAAGTGGTCTGTGATCACCACCTGTAGAACCACTCCTTTATTGGGGGTGTCTTGCTAATTGCCTATAATTTCCACCTGTTGTCTATTCTATTTGCACAACAGCATGTGAAATTGATTGTCAATCAGTTTGATTTCACAGGAGTGTGACTGACTTGGAGTTGCATTGTGTTGTTTAAGTGTTCCCTTTATTTTTTTTTGAGAAGTGTATAAAGTTGCATAAAATAGAAATACTCACATACAAATTTGAGATACTTGTACTTTACTTTAGTACTAAGTTACATAACACCACTGCCAGGTGGGGAGGTTTTGTTTAAAGATGATATTATGTTACATCGTGAGAATTGTAGGATGTGGCGTTTTGTGCGCTTGACCCATATTACTGACTGAAAACAAGGACATCATAACTTCTACTGCTTTGATTTGACCATTATTTTTTAAATCTGGCCCTAACTTTATGGAAGTGCACTACTAAATCACTGGAATAGCCCTTTAACATGTCAAGTTCAAGATAATTACTTTTTTCCACCACCAGACAGCAACCCCTTCCCCACAGCAGTACCAGCAGGATCAAAGCCAGTCCAGAGTCCCCCCTCCTGCGAAAACACCTTTTAACTCAACCACACAGAGGTTCAGAAGCAAGTCATGTATAACTGAGGACAGCCCAGGGTGAGAGAGACACAGCTTATAGTGTAACTGTACTGAACTGAGCTGACTATTGTTTGTTTTGTGATACAGCCCGGGGACATACACTCATGATGCAGTGACAAACAGGAAAGTGAGTTGGCCAATGTGCTTTGGGAGGCCAGACTGGTCCAGACTGCCTCAGCTGGAGAAGAAGTCACTCAGGGTGAAGGTGGGTGAAGCAAGCCCCATTCTGTGAATTCGGCCAAATGCCCTGAAGGTTTTGATGCCAAAATAAACAACAAACAAGGGAACAAGATTTTTTTTTAAAAAAAGATAATTTCTAGACTTTCATTAGGTGTGTTCAGTGGATGCTGAAAAAAAAGATAAAGAGATCAACACTGTTGCAGCATTTGTTTGTGTGTGAAACCATGCCCAACTTTTGACTGTAATGTGACATAATGCGGCATTGCACTGTGTTGGCCAATCACACATTGTGAGTAAATTACTCTGTAACAACATATTTCTACCGTTTATCTCGCAAACATGGTCAAAGTTAAATTATTTTCCCTGTAAAAACTTCCATAGGTTGTAAAATCCTGTCATAGAGAATTATAAATATTTGCAATGTTTTTGTGTCTGAGAAATCTTCAAACTCATGGATGTGTTACTCAAGCTGGACTTCCTGGATCAGATTTCATGTCTCACTGGTTCCTCCTTCAACACAGCCCCTTTGTTGTTTTAAGGCAGTCTGTTTATGTTTTTCTCAGAGGAATTTTATTTTGTGGGATAAATTGTGTGTCTTGTTATACAGAGCAATATCTAATGCTCTTGTCTTTTGTTTTCTTCAGCTACACAGTGAAAAGGAGTTCCTGAAGCACAGGAGCAGAGTGGCTTACCTGAGTTTGTACTATTAACTCTAAAGCTGATGGACAAAAACCCATCATGACACTGATGGTGCCTTTATCATATTTTCCTGAACTTCTGCCGTCAATAAAACAACAAAAACATTTCGGTTGTAATAAAAAGAAAAAAAAGAAATATATATTTCTTTATTCACAAAATGACTGGATTCCTGTATGGTTTGTTTCACTATAATGTTGCTTAGGTAAGGTTACAGAAAATTCAAAATGAGGGGTTGCTGGAAAAATGACAGTTAACAAAAAAAAAAAAAATTCTTCCATAGTCAGTATACAAAAAGCCAACAGCAGTACTGGTCCCAGCATTGAGCAAACACAGCTGCTGGTCCCGGCTCACATCACCAGGCCGCTCATCTGTGTGAAGGGAATCACTGACTGGACTGCTGACAGCATAAACCACTGTGACAAATGTGAGTCTGTTGGTTCGGGCGGGTCCATACTCATTTCTTCCTCCTCACTTTGGGTTTCTTGACCGGCCGGAGGTACGGGTTGTCGATCACGTTGTCCTCGCTGGCCTTTGTAGAGGGAACGACGCCGCTGGAAGGGAGCATGGAGTTCTCTTTGTCAGCTCCTGGATCATCCTTAATGAGGGAAACAGGAGGGAAAAAAAACGTGGAAGTGAGCATTTTCTACCAACACAATTAAAACTAGACTAGTTTTAAATTTTGGGAACTACGCTTATTCACTTTGTCAAGAGTTTCATGAGAAGATTGATACCCCTCTCATATCTGTGGGTTAAGTATAGAGCTACAGTCAGCCTGTGCTTAGCATAGTCTGGCGTAAAGACTGGAAAAAGGCTCTTTTCAGGTAAACATCTGCGTACCAGCACCTCGAAAGCTCACAAATAAACACATATTTTTTGCGTTTGTCAGCTCAGAAATGAAGGTCGCTGCTTCCGACCAAGAAACAGCATTTAAATCCTATGAAAGCACAACTTGTAATTTTTAGATTTCTGTTTTTGAATGGATTTAACATACTATGTAATTTAGCTAGCTTCTGAGGTACAGGTAGCCTTGTTTTTTTTTTAAACTTTGGACAGAACCAGGCTAGCTGTTTCTCCTCATTTCCAGTCTCTATGCTAAGCTGAGCTAACCATCTCCTGGCTCTAACTTTTAACTTAAACAGATAATTGAGTGGTATCAGTCTTACTCGGCGCAATACAGCTTTGAATTCAAATTCAACTAAGTCTCAATGTCAACATAAGTCCCTCAGAACATATAGATCCATGTGCGCTTGTATACAATTTCATGTAGATTATACAAAGGCTCTGTGACGAACATCCACTGTACGGTTGAATGCCAGAAATATGGATCCCAGTACCTCCCCCAAATTCTCACAAAATCCTGCTCTCGGTTTTGAGGAAAAATACCCACAGGAACACAAGATTTTTAGCATTTGTTTGTCTGTGTGTTGTTCCTGTATTGAAAACAATCACGTGCTGGAATAAAGACACTGGGCAAATTTCAGTAGTGAAGACTTACACTGATGTTGTTTCCTGCTGCGTTCTCGCTGTCTGTCTGATCGTCCTGCTCAGAAGAGTCCGTCTCCTCAAGAGTCTGCAATTCCAGCTCTGATGGCAGGAGGGCGCTGAGATACGGGATGGTTGTTGGTCGTGCTGCGATCACTGACAACACGGTTGTGGGGATTACAACTCATGTAAATACAACATTCTTTCAGTAGCATAATAAAATGACTATAATAAAACACAGAACAAGACAGATATGTTTAAACAACATTACAACCGATTTTTGAAATTCAAGTCTGCTTTGTAGAATCACTCACATGGGAAGGCAGTGACGTCGTCTTTGAAGAGGCTCTCAGTTTCTCCGGTCTTGGCCATGAAGCGTGTGAGCGCTCGCTCCACGTCTCTCCTCTGACTTGCTGCCTTCTCTCTCACCACTTGGTAATCTGACATTGGCTCTCTGAACGTCTGAGCACAGAAAGGAAAACACACCTCACTTTTTATCTGTTACACATAAAAATAAGAGGTCTTGATGGTTGATGCCCTGATTGCAGTGGGGAAACTGAACGGCATTTCCATGTCATTCAGGGAGAATCAACATTAAACATAACAGATTATATTTTATCTACATGTACAGTATTACCAGTTGAAAATGTCACGCTTCGGGGTTTGTTTCAAGATCTCTATAAAGACAGTTCTGACTCACTGGCGTTTTGATGTAAGTGTGAGGGTCAGGGAACTCTGGGAAATGGCAAGGGATGTGAGCTGGATGTGTGCGTTTCTGTCCAGCTGACAGTGCTTTGGGAGTCACAGGTGCGTTTGTCACTGGAGCTGAAATTCACAAGATCCAAACACAAAGACAAAAACTCAGATCACAGCAGTGTAGGGCTGCAACTAATGATTATTTTCATTGTTTTCTAGATTAATCGATTAGTTGTTTGGTCTATAAAATGTCGATCAGTGTTTTCCAAAGCCAAAGATAATGTCGTCGTAATATCGTTATTAATATGCAGTTTATTGTCGTAGAGAAAAGAAACCAGAAAATACTCACATTTAAGAAGCGGGAATCAGAGAATTTTTACTTTTTTGTCTTAAAAAAAGGAATGACTAAAACCAATTTATCAATTATCAAAATAGTTGCTGATTCATTTAATAGTTGACAACTAAGCCATTAATCATTGCAGCTCTACAGCTTTGTCATGAATGTCAATTTACAGTTTTCACATTACAATCAATGTAGGAAGTGAAAATACCATAATTAATCAATTTCATAACCACGCAAATAGAGCAGAGGACCTACTTACGGGCAGTTATAACCATCCTCTGTGATCTCTTGGCATACACAGGCAGCGTGTCAGCATTGAAACCTGCAATGACACAAATAGATTAAATTATCTCCTATGTATTACCTTTTGCTAATAATGTATTATTCAGATATTGTTGTTTACCAGTACTTACCCATTTCAATAAGTGCGACCACTGTATCCGACAAGGTTGGGACGCTTCTGGCTGTGTGTTCACAATAAGCTTTAGCACACCGACCTATTTCAGTTATATCTGAAAGAGAGACAAAGCATTGTGGTTCAGTGAAGTCTCTGCTTATGTACAATTAGCAGATACAACTAATGGATGAGTCTCAATGATGGGTCATTGCAGGAAACAAACAAACACAATTGGTCATATTGTTTTAGTATCAACATACATAATTCAAGTGTACAGTACTAAGACAAGGTTATAAACTTAGCAGCTGAAGTACATACAGGAAGTGATTCATCAGCTCTAGTTGAACAATTCAAATTTTGCTCGCAGCAGCAAATGAATGTAGCACAACAAAAAGCTGTATTTTACTGCCCGTAATAAGGTCAGAATTGGGGCCTAAACTAACCCAACTAACTGGCTAGGGACATCCCTAAAACTCAGTAGCAGCAACAATAATTATGAGTGACCTCCACAGGGCTCAAACTATATCTACAAACAATGAAGCCTACACAAATGTAATAAGTTCAAGAGCAACGCATCTCCCTGCTGCCATGATTACTAAAGACCCATCAGCCGATTGAAGAGCTGTGCGGAAATGCAAAACATCCTTTTGGTCCATAATCTGTCTCTAAATTTTGGCCTCTTTTTTGTGCAAAGGAAGGTATACCAGCTTCAAAATTAAAACTCTTCTCCAGTGCTTTATTTATATATTTCTGTATTACACCAAATGTTTTCAGCTATCTTGCTGTCATCAGGGTCGAGTCTGACGTTGCATCCGGTTTTGTTGATCCGTCACGTCACTTATACAGTTCACCACCATAGTTAGTCTAAAACATTTGGTGAATAAAGCTTGGTTCCCTGGAGAAGAGTCATGCAACTCGTTTTATATATATTCCACTAAGCAGCTCGGAGGAAAATGAACACGGGCACATCCTGAGTGGACGGAGGCTCTACTTTAGGATTCACACATACAGCTCTGCATCATCTCAGTGAGTGTCTCCACCGCTGCCTTCTCTGCACTCTCGAAGCCACTCTCTGTCAGGAGGGCACTGACAACGACCTGCAGGGTGCGACGCCGGGCCAGGTGGTAGTTCTCTGCAGGGCTGGAAGACGCTTTACCACCACTCCCACGCTGAAAAACACACAAGGAACAACATATTAAATAAGGGGGGGGACACATCAAGGAAACTGGCTCATCACATCATGAAAGGAACAAAACATAACACTGAGAACCAAGGTACAAAGCTCTTACAACACATTAATCGACAATATAATAATAGAGTTTATTTCGTCGGCAGGCATGATCTACCGGAGCACGTGTACATGCGTTAGGTGTAACGTTAATGATAACAAATACAGAGAACACATGGTTACCAGAAATATATCCACGACCTGCAAATGATGAAACATAACGTCACGAGCGTACAGGGAAACATTCATTCATTCATTAGCATTTACACACAAATTAACCACATAAACTGTGACGTAGCTAACCGGACAGTCTGTAACAAAATACAGCAGGTTCATACTAGATTCAAGAGTAGTTACTTTAAGTTATTAACCCTTGTTAAGACACATATACGAGTCTCTTCGTTTAGGCTGGTCTGACTGTGCTAGCTTAGCTTAGAGAGCCTTAAACCTGACTGCATCCTGCTCATGATGTATAAACTCCATCTCTTACCCCTCCTGCATTCAGTGAACCTCCCGATGCCACCGCAGGATCCGCCATCTCTAATTATTTGGGCTCCACTCGTTGAGTTAAACTGATTTAACAAACAACAATTAGATTTTTTCGACGGCCGTTTAGCCGCCGTTAGTAAACAGACTGTGTAAATTTATGTCGTCGTTTCCGTCTCCCGGACTGATCTGGAGATTAACACAACACAACATTTACTGCCGCCCTCTAGTGTTTGAATTTAGAATTACACCTCCTTTAGGGCAGGGAATGAATTAGCACCTGTCACCTGCCAAATACAGCAGGGTACAAGGTACAAGGTTGTTTATTTGTTTATTTGTTTGTTTATTTGAAACAAAGTTTGTTGTGTATTTATGCTACACACATAATTTAACATAAGTTAATTAAGTGTACATTAAAATATGGTATCTTGATGGGACAGGTCTCTGTAAAGATGTGGGCACAACAGTCTCTGATACAGGGTAAATTTTGGCTGTGGCTGGTAAAAAGTTCAGGTCACTTGCCTCCATGGCAATACTTAAATATTAGGCTATATAGTCAGCCATCACTGACTCAGTGTTTACAATTCTAAAGTGTTTAACATAGATTTCATAAGTGGCAGACAAAAAGCGGCTGGTAGAAATATTTAGTAACCTGTCCTAGTTGCAGGTGAGGAAAAACTTAATTTCAGCTTGTGGGAGATGCTGGTGTTAAGATGAAGCATTAAAAAAGAATTAGAGCAATAAATGGATATTGCACAAATCCACAAAGTGTCACACTGGCAATAAAATTCATCAAATGTGGCACGCGTTCCCTAAAACTTACTCTTCTCTTCACTTACAAATGTACTCCATTTCCTTATGAATACATGTATTTGAGGAATGTTTTCATGCAGCGTCAGCTAAATGTATAAATGTATGTAACATATACAAAAGAGTATATTACTGTAAAATCATGACCTGAAGCAGTTGCTAGCTGAAAAATAGCTTTATTTGAGTGCAAAATAAATCATTCAACATTCAGTTTTTTTCCCAACACATTCATCAAGTCACATATTGACTCACTCGTACTGAATGTAGTCACTTCTGCTGCCCAGCAGCCAGACATTACTGTACCCTGCAGTTTTTGCCAGTCAACAGTTTTTAACCAAATCTGAAATAAAATGAGTACAAAGTAACCAGTTCAACATGGTGATTTAATTTACCACCATTACCATCTACATTTCAAGTGTCTTTAAGAAGCGAACAAGCGGTTGGCTGAGCTTCTCCTCCTAGCAGTCACCAGATGTTTGGTTTTGGCCTCGATCACCACTGTTTCCTGCACTTCCACAACTTCAGGGTCAGCCACGGTAGTGTGTGACTTCAACACCTGCTTCTTCTCCATGATCAGCCCTTCTGGTGTTCCTCAACAGCATCCTGCTGTATGAATGGCATGAGAATTGTTTCCACCAGTCCACCAACCACTCCAAGCATCGCCAGAGTGGAGCCGAGCATGTAGATCTTCAGCATGCCCCGGCTGGGCCTTTGGTTTAGCATCTCCTTAGCAAATGGGATGATCTCACTTATGGTTTCCATATCGTGTTGTTTGATTAGTCTGTTGGAAGAAAAGGAGATATTGTACACAGATGATTTGTTAGAGAAATTTGTCCAAGAACTCTGTTCTTTAGTATTTAGTGCTGAATATAAAGTACTTTGCATAAACCAAAATCAATCTTTCTACCATACACATAAAATCTGGGTGCTGGCAGATACTCACTTTCCAGCACACCTTCAATCTCTGACTTTCTCTTAGTGTTCGGCCCAGTCAGGCATTCGCAGGCAGAGAGACAAGGGCAGATCCTGCAATTTAAACACAATTAGAGCCACGTCAACTCCCACAGTTGCAACGAATTGCATATTCATGAGGCTACTGCTTTTGCTTTTTAGAGATTAAGGCTTGTTTTGGGTAAAAGGGCATGGGTTTTCTGGGGCAAGAAGTGAAGAAAATATTCCCTGTAGGTCACATCACATGAGGTCTGTATGTGTCAGGCAGCAGATGCAGTGACGCAGTGTAGTGTAACATTAATCTATACTCCAACCATGCAGCAGGAGAATAACACTGAACAACATGAGGGGTTTGTTTGGGTTGTGTGGCTTGTTAGTATCAACACTGATCTTGTCAGGAGAGCTTGAAAATTGTCCAATCATAGTATGTGAAACTGTGGAGAGTCAGTCCCATTTATTGGCTAGAAGGCTTTATTTCTGACTGTATGGTTACACATGGAATACCCCTTATTGAACACTGAGAGATAAGGGTCAGTACAAGAAAAGGTTCAATAGAATCTCCCTCATCATGCAGCCCTAAGCTGCTCTGGCTAATGTCCACTGCTGAACATGGAGGTGACGATGGGGCATTGAGAGATTGCAGGATTTTAAGTGTGTGTGTCTTTATCTGAAACTCTCTGCCCTTTAACCTCATTCACTTACTGTAGAACAGGAGGGAGTCAGTCAGGCAACTTATGAAATGTGTCTGATCTTTGTCACAGAGAGATATGTGTAATCAGCACTGAGAGAAAATGACAACCGACCAACGCCACGAGACGTCTGCATGTTGGTTCAACATCCACGCACCCGATGTTAGACGCTTAGCACCATAACATATAATCCAGTTCGAGTTTTAGCCATAAAGTGTCAAGGCTGTTGGTTGCTTTTCCTCTTTGTTCCAGATAGAAATTTCTCAGAAACTACTATTAAAATTTTGCACAGACATTCATGGTTCCGTGACAATGTATGCTACTGACTTTGGTGATCCCCTGGCTTTTCCTCTTTCACCACTGTGAGAGTGACATTTTGTTTGATATTGAATCATCTCTACAACCATTGGATGGATTGTTGTGAATCTTGGTACACATATTCATGACCCCCCCCCAAGATGACTTTGGTGATCCTCTGACTTTTTATCTGGCGCAATCATCTGGTACTTTGGTTTAAGACCCAATACCTGACATTCCCATCAACCTCAGCTGTAGTTAGTCCTTATTAGCAAATGTCACTTACATGCTAACGAGGTAAACATTATATCTGTTGACATGTAATTAACATTGTAATCATTTTAGCATGCTGATGTGAGCATTTAGCTCACAAAGGTTCAAAAACATATGAACAATACTAGAAGAAACAATTCTGAATATGAGCATCATACACAATTTAATCTAAATGTCCATCACTTTAGAGACTGCAAAATACCCATATTTGCAAAAATGTGCAAAAAAAGTTGTTGCAAGTACACACTTTCATAACAAAGTAAAAACCTCTCCCACAGAAGTTATGGTGTAATTACTGTTTTGGTGGCTTATATTCAAGAACACCCTTCCCCTGTTTTTCCACAAACGTTGCTGGTAATATCCCTATAATGATACCGTGAAGAACGTTCTTCTTTGAGCAAGTCAGTTAGACTTCTGGGCAGTTATGTTTACCACAGCTGGGAAAAGGTTGAGTCTGTTTGGAGACCTTTACCCCATTTATGGCTTCTTCTACTTGAATGGACAGTCTGTACTCTACACTGGGCGTCACAGAGTCAACCATGTTGCGGTTGGGGAGTGGGGTGGGGTGGAGGTGAGGAGGGTTTACAGCAGTGTGTAGATGTGAAAAGTCTTTCAACAGGAGCTCAGGGGAGAAAAGGGCATGTATGCTTAACTCAAAAGAAATGTAAAAGGAATGACACACACACACAAACAAACAACTGAGTATAGAATCTGTTATTTTTAATTTATTGAAAATTAGGCTCTTCTTATTGTCTCCAGCTTAGCAACGGCTGGTAATTCAGTGCCAGCACTCACAGTAAAATTTAGGACAGGGAACATTTCATGTGACACTAAAATATATGGCCATAAGCTGACATACATTTTAATTCTGTTCCAGATTCATATGTTTTGATAAAAGCTGAAACTTCAAGTTTGAATTTGGCTGCAAGGAAATTTTCTTTTTTGTGTGTTATGGCTTATTGTGATTTACTCTGGCTGAAACCTGCTGCTCTAAAGACGCCAATCCTGGTAATCCTGGCTGTACTTAAAGTGCTGAGGTGTCATCTAATCTACTGAAGAAGAATACCCTGGTAATTGGCTTTGAGTTTGGTTTAATTAGAGATACCCAGAGAGGTCACACAATTAAGTAAGAGGAGTTCTTTTTCCTCTTTATTATTATTATTATTATCATTATTTTTTGAATTTCTCTGTTAAATAAGGAAGGTACTTTCAAATGTAGTTGCAGGACAAAAAACCCCAATTTTTTTAAAAAGACAAATAAAACGTGATTAAACAGATTAATAATAATTCTTCATTATGACTTAAAATAAACACTTTCAGTTTTGCTTAATTTTGTAGGCCTAAGAAGATGATTTATTGATTCATTTTAATTACTTGATTTTATGTATCAATTATATATTGTTCAATGGTTGGTGTGGAGTTATTTTTCCAAGAAGAAAGACAGTGAAATGAGAGGACAAATAAAATCTTAACAAAAATAATGCAGATTCTGTACAGGCTTTTATTTATGAGCATACAGGGATTCCAGTATAGTACATAGTGGAGATCATAATCTGTTGAATGCCTCAATACTAAGCCACATACAGCCTTACTGTATACAGTAATTGGAGAAACGTCTATTACAGTGAATATAAATTACATTTATCCATATATTTTAGTAGGTTGATGGCATGTGCGAGCTATGAGTTGGCAACTTATGGATATACTTGTGGCATTTCACACTGTTTATGATCCGCCGTATATTTTATGTTTTGGTTTGTTTTTACGTAACTCATATCTGTATAGGTCTTTTTTTATCATTATAATTTATTTAAAAAGGAAGCAAATAGTTAAAATAAAACAGAACAACAAACAATTAACACATGGAACATAATAAAAATAACTTTACCAGAATATATTATACACATATGGCTTATATGTAGCAGTAAGCATGCAGTTTATATTCTATTGCGCTTAGAAATGCAGGTTGGCTAAAAGATAATATTTTACACATGTTACAATACAATAATTTCTCTTATCGCATTGTGTGTACTTTTGTTAAACAACATGTAACCACCATCGTAATACTCCTTGACACTAAGTGCTCTGATGAATTAAACTCTCCCCGATCAAAAACCAGGAAGTATGATAAAAAGGCTTCATGACATCAGAGGTCACGGACTGCTTCACCACGAACAAGGTGGGCATTCAACTGGAGCCAAGCAGCAGGTGAGTCCACCTGAGAAGGACAATCCCGTAAAATATGCCTGAACTGTCCCGTTTAGCTGAAGTCTACCTTGTGTATCTGAATTAAAGTGAGTCTTGTGCATTTGAATGAGTGTGTGTGTGTGTGATTCTGTGTGGTTGTCTGGAAGCTTCATAGGCACTCTTTCCAAAATAAAATGTCCCACCAACTGTGTGGACCTTGTAGACCGCTTGGGTCTGTCAGAGGATCAACCACTTCTCATTCTCAGTACCGGGGGGGACCTGCTGACAGAAAACAGCTCCATGCTGAGTCAGCACAGCAACACTGACCTGTAGAGGGCACAAACACACTCAGGGTGAGACACACGTTTACCTCTAATGAAACATGCACAGCAAGATGTAGATGGTTGGTTTACATCTCTACTAGTATTTCCTTATGGAGCAAGCATATATTGACATACAATATATTGTCAAACAGCATAAAGGCCAAGCATCTACTTACAACTATAGTATACTGTAGCCATTAATTAAATGTTTTACTCTGCTTATGAATGTTATGTTGTCATTTAAGTTAATATATCAAATCATCAAATGTTTTAAATAATGACACACATATTCAATTTGTGTGGAATTTAAAGCACTTTGTACACTTTCAAATACAATTGCTTGTACTAAAGTGTATTTGATTATGACATGCAAATGCTTTACTTGAACCTACCAAGTTAAAGTTTTTTTTTTCCATGTGAACGTCACGCAGCCTTCACATGACTGAGCAAACTCCAGTCTGCACAGTCTTGCCACTAGTGGTTTTACCATGCCTGAAAGCAAAACAGAAAAGCTTCGTCATGTTTCAGTCAGTGATTTCAGAAATTCAAAATTCACAACATCAGATGGCGTTTACACAAACCCGTTCAGGTTGGCGGGCTCTGAGTGGTAGATGTGCTTGCTCTGCTCAGATATAGAGGGTGCGTGGTGTGCCGGGCCCTGACTCTGACTGGCCTTCAACGGGTGGTAATGACACTTCAGATCTACATGGCTCGTGGGCAGGAGCATGTTATTTGCCCCATGTGCTTTCCTGTCAGTCTCTTCCACCTTGTCTGGATCGAGACGTTTGCGGTTTTTTGTTGGGGAGGATACGTCGATCACCTTGATGTCTGGGATGCTGGCCTGCCTCAGGACCAGCTCTGAGTGGGCCAGCTGCAGCTTCTTCATGTGGTTGATAGCTACTGCGGCGTTATAGGCTTGCTGTAAAGTGAACATAGAAAAGAGGGTCAAAAAGAGATCTGAGAGCCATATAGATTCCACATAGCTTCACTTTAATGGAGAGACTATACTTCTGCAACGCCAAATCTGAGCACAGCAGATTGTCCAGACAATATATTTGTGTTTTAAAAGTCATTTTTACAGCTGAACAATCAGGTGCACTTTAGTTTCCCTTACAGTAAATACCCATCAGTGGCCTTGATTACACAACAATATCTTATTAAACTTTCCTTAATCAGGAAGGATTTAGGTAGGCACCAGAATAATCTACTGTAAACTGTCCTTAATGGGCTTATTAGATCAAAGCCAAGGAATCAGCGAGAACTGACCTTCCACTTGGTCTTGGCGAAGTTCTTTTGGATCTGAACACTGACAGAATAATAGATGTCCTGGCTCCGTGCCGTCTTTCCAATAATCCTGGAAAACAGATGACGAAACAGAACGTTCCTATTTATTTCAAGGTAGAGGTTAATCCTGAACACTGACCGAACACTGTGTGGATACATTCCTACTTCCTATACTTGAATTACAATGTTAGTATTAGTCACTAAAATGATACTCATCTAAGGATTATAATACATTTAGTTTTACTGTCTCTTTTCTATTCTAGATTTATAAAACTTGTGAATAGTTACATGTTATTTAAACTATAGTACAATAGCCTATAACCATTTTACTATGAAAATTCATCAAGAACAGTCTAACATGCAACTATATTGCTGGGAATGATTTTCTCCTATTATAAAATGAATTTAAAGATAAAGAAGATTCAACACTAAGAGTTTAATTCAATGCATCTTAACAATATTTGTATCAAAATTTTAAAAAGGTTGATGATGATGATGATACTCACCAAGGATGTCTGAGCGCTTGGTCAGTGGTGAAGCGCATGCTGGGATTCTTCTGCATCATGTTACGGATGAAATCTTTAGCTGCAGATGAAAAGATGTCAAACACATTAGGGCTTCGGGCTGAGCTCTGTATGGAGGAATAAAGCAGCTGCTAACAGGCTACACATTATGTCTGCTAATGCTCCGTGTAATTACCAGATTCAGAAATGTCATCCCAGAAGGGCGAGTCAAACTCATACTGCGCCTTCATGATCTTGGAGAACAGTCTTGTCTCACTTTCTTCATAAAAAGGGGGATATCCACAGAGTCTGCAACATACAGTAAGTATTTGTCATTGTTGGATAAGAGGAACGCTGAAGAAATGTTCCACAATAAGGAACATGTGTATGTACTACTGTATGCAGTATGTATAATAGTTGTTCACTAGGTGGTGCTATGGCTCGGTCACTGCATCATTATTCTGTATTCAGGTAACTGTGTCATGCATGAGTCATGACCAGCAGTGGCTTTTAATCTGAAAATCCTGCTACTTAATGAAGGAAACCTGGAGCTGATTTACAATCTTAGTATGTATGCAAACATTTACCGTGGCTTTATACTTACAAGATGTAGGTGATAACTCCAATAGACCAGCAGTCCACTGCCTTGCTGTAGGGCTTCTGTGCCAAAACTTCAGGAGCTGAAGGAAAGTGAGGCAAAAATGTCAGAGCTAAGCTAGTCATTACTTTAATTAGGCCGGTATGAGAAACACAGGTATTAACATTGCATATTGTTTGTATCTGAGTGACATATCCCCCTGTGTGTTTTATATTTCTCTGACCTATTTTAGGCCCCCACCAGTAAGTCTCTATACATAATTCATTAGACAGACATGTTTCCTTACCTACATATCCTGGGGTGCCACAGGCTGTCGACATGATGTCATTGTCTACCATCTTGGAGAGGCCAAAATCACTGATCATGATCTTAGAGGTCTCTTCCTGGCTGTAGTACAGGATGTTCTCTGGCTGCACAAGGACAAACAGACAGGAGAGCTGACTCACTGAAGTGCTCAATGAACAAGTGAACTGTTAGTTGACCTGGGGCAGAACACCTTCTTCTATCTCACTTTCAGTAAAAGTGCCACTGCTGGAAATGGAGCTGTACCATTGAAAGTATTGCAGTAAAAATGATATGTAAGTACAAGTATAGGCTTTTGTAGAGAACATCACTCTCGTGTTTGTACAGTAAAAATGAAGCTACAGCTAGCAGACAGTAAGCTTGGCTTTGTTTCAAAGTAAACAAAATCCAGAAAGTTACTACTCCCGGCCAAGAAATAATCCGGCACATAACCCCCCTCCTGTTAAACCACAACTTGTTCAAACATTTCTATTTTTGTAGGGATTCAACAAATGATAAAGGACGTGTTAATTAGTGACATTTTGTAACCTTTGGACAGAGCCAGGCTACCTGTTTCCCCATGTTTCCTGTCCTTACGCTGAGCTAAGCTAATGAGCTGGTATAGCTCTTTTCATCTAAGAAAACAGCCACTTAAACAAACAATGTCAGATACATTAAAAGCAATCAAATGAAATGAACCAAAAAAAGGAAATTCTTGAATATTTAATATAAGATTATGTAATGGGGCTTTATTCCAAAAGTGTACTTTAACTAAACAATATACGTATGATTTTGTTTTATTATCTGATTCATACCTTGAGGTCACGATGCACAACGCCATTTTGGTGCAGATAGCTAACGGCCTGCAGCACCTGCTGGATCACACTGCTGGCATCCTTCTCTGAGTACACCCCCCGGTCCAGTATACGATCGAAGAGCTCACCGCCTGAAACACTGGTAAGAACACACCACTACCCTCAAAATTTGATCTTAAATGTCATTTTAATTAGTTAACCTGCTTATTTAAAAAGTAATAGGACAAACTGTAAAACTTACAGCTGCATGATAAGATAATAATGAGTCCGACTTTCATAGAAATCCTCCATCCCCACAACATTCTCGTGTTGGATTCTGTTCAGGAAAACAACAAGGTGCTTTCATTATGACATTGCTGACAAAATCCCACAACTGAATTCACAAATTTTCAACATAAACGACAGCCAAAAGAGAAAGCTGATAAATGTGAGTCCTTCCCGCATTGACTACAGAGAGAATATGAAATGAAAGACGTTAATTACCTTCTCAACACAGCAATCTCATTCTCCAGATTGAGGTCTCTTTTCTGTTTCTTCTTCACACACTTCATGGCAAACATCTTTCCTGTCTTCTTCTCCTTCACCATGTATACCTCTGAGAAGGCCCCCCTGTTCATTAACAAACAGATTGAAAATGAGTTGGTGAAGCTTCAGTCACTGATTGCTTTGAAACATCACAGACGGCGATAACAAGTTTCTCCCAGCTGGAGGAAATGAGTTTTCCTTTTTATTAGAACAGGGCAATTGTTAATAAAATATGGGGACCTTAACAGCACAGAGCATCGACCTCTTGCTAAGTCTTCTTTCCATTTTCTCTGCCACTCAGGGATAGCTTTTGCTTTCTTACATTTCCTTATTTTATTTATGTGACTGTTTTTTGCAGAGATAATTTATTAGCAGGGCTTAAAATACATGAAAGTCTTTATGATTTTGAGTGGAAACGGTTAAAAACAGCTGGCCTGGATCCTTACAAAAAACAAAAGTGTAAAAACGATATGTCAACAAAAATGTGCGATTTTATAGTTTCATGGTATTTCTCTTTGTCTACATCACACTGAGATGGGAACGGCCTCAATTTCTTGGAAAGCACCAGAATACAAAAACACACAGCAGAACTATCAACATCAAGGGATTCCTTTAAGATCTACTCTAGATCTCTGTGGCTTAATATATCAGAGGCTTATTAGTCTGCTGCTCTGTGTCCATGCTATCTTCAGTGCTGTCTTGGAATAGTTGTTCTACCAGGTGGATTAGGCCCTTTATCCCTGACGCAATGGAAACGGTGGCTGGCTGAGGACATATGGTGCAAAGGTCAGAAACTGAGCATGTGCGGCAGAGATACTTGGTAACAACAAGCTTCTACAGGCCAGGTCACAGCTGGTGTTAAGGGCTATGGGCAGACATGGGATATCACAACCCTGTCTGTAACCTCTGTCTGTAAGGCGATGACACTGACCCTAAAGGATGAAGGAATGTACTCTAATGAAGCTTGACACACACACCTGCTGGAGGATCTGAATTCCTTTGATAGTATTAATTTAGCAGCACAATGTGAATCACAACTGTTTTCTGTTTTATTTCCCATTGTGCATGTTTTCTAATAAGTGTACTGTGTCACATTTAGAAATCAATTTTACAACTGCTTTAGCACACACTCAAACACACTGCCTAATGCCGACAGGAACAAGCTGCCCCCACAGCGTCATCCCAGCACTTCACGTCCCATTGCTCTGATTTCTCCTTGGTTACCAGAGTACATTGTCTTCCTAGGATCTCCTTGAAGCTTATTGTGATTCTCAAGAGAAATCATCAGTCAAGCTTCAAGCATGAATGCTGTGCGGCATTCATGTTCGGGGCTATATTGATGATTCAAAAAATACAATGGGCAATCAGAAATCACTGACGTGCTAACTTGTGCATGCAAATTTGCACACTTAAAATTCTAAAATGTTGACTAAAATGAGATTGCTCTGTACTTTTTTGAGTTACATTTACACTTAAATAGACTGAGTCCTGATTACCAGGAAACAATTAGATGTTGTTTAGTGTGATGGGGCCCAATGGGAAAGGATATATTTGGTGTTCTACGCAATCTCCGGTCCCTTCTGGTTTCTCCTCCTTTGTGATGGAAGAGTGGAAGACAGAAAATCTAAACCGTATACTTCAGAATGGGCAAACCAGCTCAGAGGGTTCACTCTGCTGACATCTTCAACAGAAATGAAAGAAGCAAAATCGTTCAGTGGCTCAGACAGTAAAAGTAACCCTTCAATGTGCTCTGTCTTGAAATTGATTGTTAATACTTTATGTGTTTACAGAAATAAACTTATCAAGTGCTTCTGTCTGTCTTTTGCCACTTTTTCATAAACCTCCTGTGTTTGGAGAAATAAAAATAATTGCTGGAAACTAATTGGACTCCAAATTAGATCATATCCTGTATTCAGGAGGGCCCTCGCCTCCTTTATAATCCAATCACAGCTGTCTTCATTTAAAACCTCTCAGCAGCCTCCTCAACCCTTGGCTCAGATCTGTTCTGTTTTCCAGCAACCCGCTGACGTCATCTTTATTTACTGTTGGCCTCTGATCTGCTGTTCTCCAGCCACTTGCTAAGTACATGAGAGTGCTAGAAGACCTGCTGATTATCAATGCTGACCTCACAAAAATAAGGCCAGCACAAGATACCGTTAACCGAGTATGTGCACAGTATACAGTACTATGCTGCAAAACATTATTACAGGGAGAAAAAATGCGCACCAGCTGGTATTTCATCAGTTTCCTTGCTTTGAGGGCTGCAACAAATGATGTTTATAAAATGTCAGAAAATAGTGACAGATGCCCATTGCAATTTCTTAAAGTCAGTGTCTTGTTTTGTGCAAACCCCCAAAGACATTCAGTTTATTATCACATTAGACAATGAAAAGCAGAAAATCCTTTCACTGAGAAGCTGTAATCAGAGAACAATGTGTATATGTAAATATTAGCATTTTTGCTAAAGAAAATTTACCTAAATGATTAATAAATTGTCAAAATAGGTTTTGATAGTATTTCTGTTGATCAGCTAGACGAGTCATTGCATGCATGCAATTGTTGCAGCTACTTGCTTTCTAATTAGACTTTTAAATTTTTAAAACTTTCTCTGTTAGCAGGGTATCACACATTTAAAGAGACTTTAGACACAATCATTTAAAATGACTTCACAGCCAGGCAGACAGTCAGACTAAGTAACCCTCTAACAGTGTCTTGTTGTCTAAGACCTTAGTTAAGAAGGCCTCATGTCAGTCCAATCAAACCAGTAATCTGTCCTCTGACCCAAGTGTACACCATGTCCATAGCATTATAATACAAAAGTTTTACTGTACTTTACTTGCTCAGTATCACCAACACAAGATATTCCCAGGGGTAAGAAAAACAGGAAGAAATTCTACAGTATATAAAAAAAACTGCAGTCAGCTCAACAAATATTAATATTTCTCTACTGAATCACTTCTTTGTATGTTAATAAATTGTGCTATCTTACATGAAGTAAAATGTACTTACGATCCCAACTCCTCCATGATGTCAAAAACCTCCTGGATGTTTTCAGTGTTTTTCTTCCACACATAATCGGCCTCTTGACGACCCATGTCTGCAGACTCTTCCACAGGGATTTCTTTCAGAGTTAAGGAGAAAGAAAAGACGCAAAGAATGAATGTAAACACCTGAGTTCCACAAAGCACGGCAGTAATCCTGGCTTAATGTCCAGACTCCCTCATCATCAAAATCATAAGAAGAAAGTCCTCTGGATTATTTAGGAGTAATGAGACAGAAGCTATGAAGGTTGGTCTGTCTGCTGCGCTGCTCAGACTGTCTGCAGGAGGACGAACAGATGAGACAGGCATGAGTCTTTGTTAGGCAGACAAAAGGTTAGAGCACTAATCTGTGCTGTAACGAGCACATGGTAAGGTATAAGGCACTGCCAGGTCTGGCCCATGCATGAGGGAGATACTACAGTGTATGAATGAGGCTGGGTCTGAATCTGTCAAACAAGGAGAAAAAGTAAGAGGAATCTGTTGCCTTGGTTTTTCTGCATTTGCCAGAAAATGTGCACTTGAAAATTGAAAAAGAAAAATCAAAACTGTTAAAACTGTCAAATTATCGTTAAAATATCTCCCAGCACCACTCTGATCACCATACTGTGATGTTCAGTTCTTATGTTAAGCAAAGTACTTGTCTTTGCTTAAATAACAAATAATCCGCAAGGATTAGAAAGTCAGGAAGAATGATTTATCCAATAAAATTAAGGGTACTGAGAAGGATTAGGGACACTTTAAATGAGCGGGTCACCCAGTTTGGTTTCCTGCCCTATTTTCTCTTATATAACGGATTAATACCTTGATCTGGAGACCTTGTCACAGGTATAAATACTGGAGTATAGCCTCAAACAAACAGCTTTAAATACAGTAAAGCATATAAGAATCAATGAACAACAGATAAGTTTTTAAATCAAGCCCACTTTGTCCTCTGATGTTGTCCAGTCCATGCATATCCACATTACCTCAAATGTTGCAGTATAATACATTTATTATTCAAACAATGTCTGTTCACACAAGGATGCGCTCTTGGGTCTGGTGCACCTTTTATTTTCCTGTTGCTCACTCTGGCTTCCCCTGCAGTAATCACTTCTTTCAACGCTGCATTCTGTTGTTATTTAGCAGAACAGGTCAGAAGATGCAGAACATCGCTGGTGCACAAGAGCTGAGAAATCCACTGAATGCTGGATAATATGTCCTAAACCACATAGGCCTACAACAAAACAAAGCTAAATTGCACGGTCAAAATCTGCAGCTGTAATTCAGATTTCAATGCAGTGCTCTTATACAGTCGAGACACGCGTTTTTACAGTGAAGCAGAAATACTCGACAATGCAAACAGAATATTACTGGCAAACGGCATGACAGACCGCAAAGAGACTGGCTGATCTAACGGCAATTGGTAACGGATGCGGCTAAGGTATTCTCATGCCACCAGCAGGACCAAGTTGGCTGCGGCATCCGCGGAAAAGATCACTCTGCGGCAAAAAAGCGAATATTCAGATCAAGCTGGAACCACTCAGCTCTCAAGCCAGAGCAGTGACGCGATCAAATGCATGCAAGTTTGGACGCATAAAATGGCTCATGATGCTGAATGTTAATGCAGATAACTCAAAACTACTCAAATTATACACAGAATACAAATTAGATTACACTGACCATCTACCTGATTTGTTGAAAAGAGAAAAAAACAGTCCCCAACTGCAATTCAAACTAAACAACAATCGTTTGAGTCATCCAGATCCAAGTAATTCACTTCTTAAATAAGAGGTTCATTCAGCAGACTGACTTACCTAGAGCCTCTGCGCTTCAGGAGCTCTGCTCTGACTCTCCTGTTAACAGGTCGGTGAGATCTGGACAGATTACTTTGTCTGGGACTTTACAAATAGCCTACCTGTTGCCAAATCAGAGATTACATCCATGGAGAGAGCCGAGGGGAGGGGCTGACAGTCTCACAGGTGCTCATTGAGACTTAAAGCACAGGCGTCAGTTCAAGCTGCAGCTGCTGCTTTAACTGCAGCATCATTCATCTTTCAGCACAGCCACAGGTTTATGTAGAAAACGGCGCGTCTTGCGCAGAAGGGAGCAGCTTTTGTAAAACTGTCCGTTCAAAACTCATTCTGTGCACGCGCACGCTCAGGTACGCACACGCACATTCGTTGAGCAAGCTTCTCAGAGGTAAAACATACCATTTTGAAATACAAGGTTAATGACCAACAGGGTAGCCTGCAACTTTCCAATAAGGTGATCTTTATTAAGGGTGTACAGATTGTGACTAATGGATTATACATGTTGATTAAGGTGTGTCCTATAAAAGAGGGAAAATGCAAGCATACATCTTTGTATTGCCTTTGTGTTAGATCATGTATTTGTTCGTGTGTGTGCACATGTGTATCTGTTTCCAGCTACTCTCGCATACATACTGGACACCACGGTATACTCAAGGACCTCTTGTGGGTGCTGTGATTTACAACTTTTGGAAAAATACTATTTTATTGAATGATATTATTGTAAAGCTTAGACTTGCGTCTTTTCAGCCAGTTTCACCCAAGCTATGTGGGTGGCCATAGGCTAAAAACTAGGCTTACCCAGTCTGTGCAGATTTTTGCCTTCAAAACTCAAAACTGGCATCCATAGAAAAGTGTGGTCTGATCTTGAATCAGAGCATCAGCATCATCATTTATGATCCTCTAAATTAGGCACAATAAATAAATAAATTCCTCATTTTGCTATCTTTGCCACCATCTTGACTGTATGGAAGCCAGGAGGGACAATTGAGTTAAATGCCACACCTGGAATATTATGTTTTTTAAGACGTGATGCTATGTATTTAAGCTTAATTATTGAATCATCTCAGCTATAACATATCAACATCCCAAATGAGTGCAATACATATTCTTATTTCATGTGAAAACCCGCAAAGCAGTCAAAAGTTGAATATACACTTTTACATTGTTATTTATGTTCATATATTTGTTAAATGTCTGTTTTATTATAATATAATACAATTCATAACATCTGTGAAAAAGTAGAATAGATTTAATAGCAGGTTACAGAAATCAGACTTAATGCAATCTGACTCCACTGTTGTCCACATATGTGGACAGTTGGTTTTTGGTGTATAAAAACTACATTTACCTCTAAATGGTAGTTTATAAAACATAAATATGTTAATCATACTTTACTGTATACTCCTTTTTTTTCACCTCGATTGACCTCCGTGAATAAATGTTTTTCACAGATATGCCTGGTGCATTTAGCACATGGCTATTTGAAATACAAGTAACCACTGTTACAATGTTGCTATCAGCAAACTGACAATGTCCTCTAATGGTTTGGAGAACATAACCATGATATAGTAACCCAAAATGGAATTAAAATAACTGTCCATGATAGGGTTAAAAAGGACTTGCCTTATTAGAAAGCGGTACCGATAATAGTTGCAGGAAATTTGGAAATTTGGAAACTTGTTTAGGCCACAGACTGTGAATAGTATACACAGAGGTCTTCAGAGGAAACCTTTAACTGGCTTATAGATTAATCTGCATTAGGTGCTCCTTTCACCTGCCCCATAAGGAGCCATACAGTATGGCAGGTCAGGTTTATAACACAGTCGACCTTCTCTGTTCTTGTGTTCACTGCACACAAAGGACAAGGACACAAAACAGGTTTGTTTGTGCTATGCAAAAAAATTATTCACAAATATTTGTAAACAAAATGCACAGCTACAGCAATGCAGGTATGCCTTTCAGAACAAATAAAAATGTGCTGTTATGATTTTATCTTCCATCAAAAGAAGCAGTGTTGACGATATCTGCCAGGATGAGTTTCATTGCAAATAAATAAAATGCAAAATGCAGCCTCCTGAATTTTAGGCATGTGCTGTAAATAGAGAGACAGAATATCCCTGGCTGGACTGACTGATCATGTTGTCATGGATACTGGTTCAGGAGGTTGTCATGGTCATCTTCCATTTCAGGTGTGTTTCTTCTAGATACAGGATGAGATTAAATGTCTTTTTCAATCAGCAGAAAAGACATCAGGCCTGCAGGAAACAGCAGCTACTATAATGAGAGTGTCAGGTTTGATGATGGATGTTAAACAGCACAAAGGCAGCACAGTCACTGGTTCACAGTTACACCATGCCATCATGTAAATTAGCCCACAACATTAAATAAAAATATTTACAATGCTACACTGTTATTCCCCTGAGATTAAATGTATAAAATTATATAAATGTATAACTCAGTGATATATGGATAAAATCTTCTGACACAGTGTTTGTAATGTAACATTTGCTCTTGGATAAAATAACCAGACACACAAATATCTACTTTTGGCTAATCCAGCAAATTAAATACCTGACTGACAAAATCAAGGGGCTTCATGCCATTGATGATAGAAAAATCCTGCTCATTCATTTACAACATTGTCTACAATGAATGACCTCATACACCAGAGATAGTACAAAAATGCAAATTGTCCAACACATTAATGGGTCTTATAATTAGGTGTAACTTTACCCCAGAGATGGGATGGCCACCAAGTGTTATACAAACCACCACTTTCAATAGTTTTCTTAATACTGAAACCTTATATCAATAAATTTGAATAAAATGTTGTTTAAGTTACACTGAGTAATTAAGAGTTTAACTGAGAGTTTAAGGAGTATATCCAAAATATTTGTCTGATTGAAATAGAACAATTAAATACAAATGTCTGTAAGATTGCAGATTAAACTGCTAAACAGTATTTATAAATTATATATAAAAGTGATGAAAATTAGCTGAACCTCAACAAGCTGCTACTTACACATTAGGCCAATGCATCAGTAATAATTATCTCATAATATAACAAAAACGCCCGTTCTGCATAATGAGAACTTTTGCTTTTGAGCATTTAAATCTGTTTAGGTAATAATACATGTGTAGAATCTTTAATGCAGGACTTTTACTTGTTATGGAGTATTTTGTTTCCACTGTAGTACTGATTCTTTTACTGAAGGATCCTAGTACTTCTTCAGTGTCATGACTGGACAGGTTGATAAAGCGCTGACAGCAGGTCTGACTCGTGTTACCTTACATCACTAACAAGCTTACAAGAGAAACAACAGGATCAGTTGGAACTTTTTAAGCCCTGACAGTGGGATTAGACAAGACTCCAGCTTCACTTATGTCATTAAAGTGATGTAAAACAAAGCTGTCCATTCTCCTCAGAGGAAAAATAAAACAATTAACACCGCCTCAGGCTCTTTAGATTGAATGGCCATTGGGATTACACTAAAGGGATCAGGTAAATGTTCAAAAGCCTTGTATAACGTGGTCTGTTCAGTGCTCAAGTGAAGAAGCTCCCACATGAAGAAGAGTCATTGAAGACTCATCACATCTACAGGCCTTCAAAAAATTATTCCACAAACCTAATCAGGATTTAAATGCTCTGAACACAAATCAGTTATTTCGATAGTGAGATTAAATGTTAAGTTAGTGCTTGCATGAACCTAATGACTCATGACTGATGAACACAATCAGGGATAAATAAACTTATTATTCACTGGTCCCAGAATAAAACCATTTTCTTTGTGAAAGTGTGTTACAATTAACATTATTTATAATCATGTGGGTAGTTTTTCCTGTAATAGACTATAATTATTCACCTTTAGGCTTCTTCGCAGAACATCCAGAAATAGTGCTCATCCTCCACACAGGCGTCCTCTGTAAGTTTACAGGTCTGATAAATATTTATGGTCAGTCAATAGAAACGCATTTGTAAAAACGAGGTTAAAACAACTACTTATGTGCTTCCAAAACATACATAATCACTAAATGTACGTACTGGACATGAATGGGGCTCTTCATATATTTTTTGTCTGACTCATTCTGCAGCTGTGGATTCAGAAGAATGGGCATCTAACAACCTGATAAAGAGCTGAATGAGAGGTTGACATCATGAAAAAAAGAAATTTAGTCTTCAACATTATTTACTTAACTAATCGTCTAAGAGTAAAAAAAAAAAAAAAATTATAAATCAGTGTAAGCTGCAGTGATAGTAACTAACTGCATTTGTTCAAGTGTTTCTTTACAGTTCTACTTCACTACATTTATCAGTTATAGCCTAGTGACTTTGTAAATGTTGATTATAAAGTATCTCATGACATAAGATGTTTTAATAGATTATACTACCAAAAAGAATGTCAAATTAGCCCCACATCGACTTGCTGCATTGCACATTGTGTTGATAATACTTCTGTTCTTTTACTTATATCATATTTTAAATGCACGTCTTTTACTTGAAGAGTATTTTAGCATTGTGTTATTAGGTTTTAAGATCTGAATACTTCTTCCATCCCTGATGACCTGAGGAGTTTCTCAAGTGTCACTGTCTTCTTAAGTTAACTGTTAATCTAGAGGGACAAGTGAGTATCCTAGAGTAGAGTGAGAATAGCAGGGGAAATCTGTATATGGCCAAGGTTATTGCAATAATAACAACTTACAAAACACCTGAGACTGGACATGCATTAGTAACACCATAAGACCTCAGTGTATGTCATTATCAAATGCATAAAAAAAAAAATAACCCAACCTAAAAACATCAAAGTGCATGATCTTTATTTGATATACTGTGAAATGCCATCCAGATGGCACAAAATGGCAGCAGAACAATGAATATATAAGGCTCCTTTTCATTAACAACAAACTGGTCTTTGTCTTGATTTTGGCTATTCTGCTAGCACATGAATAAGAACACCAGCAAATGCTAAATGACGGCATTTATAAATAGATGAACCAGTACATTAAGTCTGTTACTCATTCACCCCCCCCCCCCCAAATCCCGTGTTCATATAATACACCACCACTTAAACAGCAGCCGACTGTTGAAAATCCCATCTCTGATCCCAGAGGACTGAACCATCAACCCCTGAGATTTACTATCCAACATGCTATCAGGAAAGGACATGGTGAACAGCAGGAAGTGCTACAAAAATCATGAAAGAGAAGTACATTTGGTAATTAAAATGAAATCATGAATACTAATAACAATTTAA